TGTTGTGTCTATTATACACCCTTCAGAAGATCAATAACATCCGTGCAACACGCTCAATAAGAGGTTTTGTTAGTAATATACAAGCATCAAACTCCCTTCTGGTCAGGCGCCGTGGATCACACATGGGAACTTCTCTGTTAAAAAAAATCACATTTTTCTGGTTTGGAACACGACGCTTGACTCACTGTACTATGTGTGGAGAATGACACAAAGCAAACTAGCCTGAACAACATCCAAAGGTCCTGAAATATACTATAAATGCTCGATTAAACATTAATGGACAAAATAAATCCAGATTTAAATAGAGCTGAACCATTCTGGATAGATTGAAAATCATGATTTTTAGTTTGTTTATTTAGAGAAACAAAATTTTTTAAATGGTTTGAGTGAATGATTCAATGACTCATAAATACTTCACTTGTTTCGTTACTGGAATTCATAATCTTTGAACAAATTTTAACGTTTGAGTGAATGATTCAGTCACTCATAAATACCTCACTTGTTTCGTTACTGGAATTCATCGTTTTTGAACAAATTTGAACATTTTTGAACGAATCTTTTGAATGAGTGATTCAATGCCAAATACATTTTTAAGTCACTTGCCACCTACTGGTGTAACAATGTAATATACAATTGTTATTTGAAGCATCAAGCTACTTTCTAAAGGTGATTTACTCTATTTTGATCTCTACTGTAGACATCAGTGTTTATGCCTGACCTCTAACCTTTTATCCCAGTGCTTCAGTGATAATATGAATAACTGTATCACAGAAATAATGAAACTGTGTGGTTGAAAATAGGGATGGGCAACGATTAATGCATCCAAAATAAAAGTTTGTGTTTACAAAATATATGTTGGTGTAGTGTGTATAATTAATTTGTATATATAAATACCCACACATGCATGTATATATTTAAGAAATATGTGCATATATATTTTATATATATTTATTCAATATTCACAATTAATATTATATATAAATATTTGATATATATTAATAAAACATTTTTCTTAAATATATACATGCATGTGTGGGTATTTATATATACAAATTAATTATACACACTACACACACATATATTATGTAAACACAGACTTTTATTTTGGATGCGATTAATCGTTGCCCATCCCCAGTTGAAAAGACTGTTTGTGAAGCTGTTTCATATCTATGATGGCTCTCTCTGGATCAGAACACAGATCTGAATATTTGCTGTGATGTTTTGAAAGATTATTAACTAGACAGGAGAATCGTTGTCATGTAGGAATGAGATCATGTGGGTTTGAATCGAGATTGTGATCTTTTAACGATTAATAGGGCAGCTCTAGAATTAAAGGGACAGTTCACCCAAAAATACAAATTATTTAATCTATTACTTATGTCGGTCCAATCCCACAAGTCTTTTGATCATCGTCCAAAACTCTGACGCACTGAAACATTCATAAAGAGAAGTGTCGTACGTGTAGCTAATTGTCAAAAAAGATAAATGTAGGGCAGGACTTGGTTCTATGCATCAGTTGCTGATTGGATGTTGAGATGTGGGCGTGGCATTTAAAAGGGGATGCAAATTAATACAAGTTTGCAGGGGCGGAGTTTAAGCAGACTAAATAATTGGAGAAGTCCTGAATAAATCAGTCTTATGACATTTAAATTAAACATTACGAGTCGAAAAATTTAATTAAACATGTGGATAAATTGTTCACAATACGATGAGTAATATGCATTTAGAAAACAGATTTCATTTCATGCCAACTTTAAATTTGCAGACTTGGACCAGTTAGAAACCACCTGACAACTTTATAGCAACATGCAAAAAAAAAATAAAAAATCCACGTAGCAACACCCTGGCAACCAACCACCAACATTAATGAGCAAACATTTTCTAATATACTAATTGGCCATTATATCACTTTTTTAATCGATACTGTGTTTGCAGTGAAAGATTACTCGTGATTGATCCATGGTGATAAATCAATCCATGCGGGGTTCAAACATGCTCAGATCTACACTAGACTATGAGACCCTGGAAACAACATTAAATCTTACAAAATACATAAGATTGCCTTGATGTTGCCTTCAAGATTGTATTACCATGGTGATATCATGCATAAATGAATGCAATGGTTCTATCAAGGTACTACCGTATAGAGCTCCGGACGTCACGTGACCTACTCTGTTTATACCGCCATATTGGCAGGCAGGAGGCGGTCCGAGACTGGGACGCGAATGAATGAATGAATGACAGCAGGATGAGTTTCAAGGCAACAGAGTTCACAGCGCACTTTAATTCAAAAGACATAGACTTGTACATAACAAAACTTAATAGATTAAATATAACAGATCCCTATAATGCCCCCGGGGTGCTTTTCATGTGTAATGATAAAGAAACTGATAGCTTTCCTGACCTGCAGTATCCTGATATCTACAACTACCTCATCAACTTTCCCTCGTCCTACTCCGGAGAGTCTTTAAAAGCCTACAAAAGCCTGGAGGGGTACAAATGGACACAATCAAATTTTGTGACGAATATTCAACTTTGGAGTCTGCCAGCTAAATCCTGCTCGGTCGTCATTGGAAGGGTAAATCAACTGTGTTGTTAGCTAAGCCTAACGTAATCGACCTCAGCTGTCATTTAGCATAGTTCACTGAGTACCATAAATGTCATGAAATCTTTACCCTTTAAACCCCAATTTTTCCCAGACATGAAAATATCCTTATGATGTGTCATTAGTTTCTCATTGAAATAATCAATAAAATAAAAAATAAAAAGAATGTTTATGGAAAGTGTGAAAAATTTTGTTTTATGTTCATTCACAATTGTGACTGATGGGATAATGTGTATACTGATAATATTTTAATAATTATATATATATATATATATATATATATTTACTGTCACTATTGTAAAATGATTCTTTTATATCTTTACGGTGAGATTAAATGGCTTAATCTACAGGTTAAACATTCCCAAAAACTAAATGACCCTCCATTGAAGCCATGGGTGGCGGTCAGAAACGATGGGGTCGTGTTAGGAGCACACTGCAATTGCACAGCTGGACTAGGAGAGTGCTGCTCTCATGTGTCAGCGGTCTTGTTCAGTATTTGGCAGCAAAATGACAGAGAGGAAGAGATAGCGGTGACATCAAAGAAGTGCAAGTGGTCCACACCAAGTGAGGAGTCTTTGAAAAGAGTGGAATATCAGCAAGGCAAAGACATAATTTGTAACAACACACAGCGAGGCAAAAAGTGCTCTTTCAAAGGCCACTCTACTATTCCACCACCTACTATTCCTCCTCTGACCCATCTTGAGCAAGCCCAGCTTTACAGCAGCCTTTCTAAAAGCTGTACACAAGATGGACAGATCATAAAGCCAGCAGTCCTCTCAGTTGTCAGCGAATATGCAGCATCCTATGTGCCAAAGACTGTTATGCTAGGTCTACCGGAACCCCTCACAACTATTTATGACAGGCAGGCAAGAGAGGTCAGCCTAGAAGGATTACAAGACAGGGCAGAAGCACTCTTTGAAGATATAAATGTGACCAAAGAACAGGTACATCATTATTTAGGATTAAAGTTATGTTCCAAAAATGTATTATCTAACAGTTTCAATCATATTTTCAGAGTGATATTGTAGAGGAGGAGACTCGAGCACAGTCTAAGTCTAGGATCTGGTTTGATCAAAGGAGTGGTAGAATAACAGCATCGACCTTCAGAGCAGCCACAAAGACAGATGTCAGAAAGCCCTCAGTGTCCCTGATAAGAAAAATATGCTACCCAAAGTCTCATAGCTTCAGCACTGAGGCTACCAGGTATTTATAAGTGCAGATAATAAGGTAAGATATGGCAACAAGTAAGTCTAGCAGTTGAGCACCATGCAGGGAGAAGTTTTAGCAGTTGGGCTTGTATAATAATCTCAGATTCAAACATTGAATATTGTTGCATTTTTGTATTGCGATATATAGGGACACGATATATTGTTACACTCCTAATAACAATGCTTAATCACAAAAGCCTGTGGCTCGTAAGATAAATGTTCATGTTAATACATTGCTGTTAGACATTAATACTGTCTAAAAGTTATCTAAACAATTTTATGTGTTTTTTTTAGATGGGGATGCAAGCATGAAGAGTTGGCGCGAGAATACTACGAAATGCAGCATCGCCTCTCACACTCAGATGTTCTGCTAGAAACAGCTGGATTCCGGATTTCAGTCTCACATCCTTTTATTGGGGCCTCACCTGATGGATATGTTTCCTGCAGCTGTTGTGGTTCAGGGGTCATAGAAATTAAGTGCCCATTTTGTACCAAGGACCTCTCTGTAAACGAGGCAGCAAACTCTGTTCCAAACTTTTGCCTTGAAAACAATGAGTGTGGAAGCATCAGACTGAAGCGGGACCATGCCTATTATTATCAAGTTCAAATGCAGTTATTTGTTACTGACAAACCTTATTGCGATTTTATACTTTGGACTGAAAGGGACAGTGCTTCACCTTTTGTGGAACGAGTGAAACCAGATGTGTCGTTTTTTGAAAAAGAATTGGCTTGTGCTACAAACTTTTTTAAGAAATGCATCATGCCAGAGCTGATAGGCAAGTATTTCTCTGCTCCAAAGCCAGCTGCAGCATTTGATTCTGGTCAACAGTGGTGCTACTGTCGTGAGCCTGAAGTAGGGGACATGTTGGTCTGTGCATCAGGTTTTTGTTCAGTTAAAAAGTTTCACCAATCTTGCCTTCGCATTAAAAGAATTCCTAAACAGTGGGTATGTCCCAGCTGCAAAAAAATTATAAATTCACAAAAAAAGAAGTGAAAAATGAGTGGTGAGAGGATTTGAAAGAGTAAATGAACTATCTTCCTCCCTCTCCTTCTTTCATGTAATGGTTTTTCTGTCTGTTCAGCAGTGAATAAAACATCATTATCAATTCAAGTAAATAAAACACCAATACATAAAACTTATAAAACATCAATATCTCTTTTAAATGAATGTCACAAGCAACAAGAAATGTATAAAAAATTGGTTTATTTAGCTCAGTACCACATCTACTGTCAGTTGCATGGCATTACATTTGCTCAATAATCACTGAAAGGGTACAACAGATTCTGAAACATTTGTAAGAGCACAACATACTTTCACCATTTTGTCAAGGTATGTCACGTCGTTTTCTCTGTCAATGTCAGTGAAAACTATGGGGATAATGCTTTGCAATGTTGTGTATTTCTGACGCAGAACTCCTATAACCCTTTCAATATGTATCCTAAGAGACGCTAAGCATCTTGTACTCTCCAAATCAACAGGATCTAATTGCTTTTTCCCACGTGTGAATGCTGGGATCTTTAGTTCAGCTTGGTGAGTATGGATGGACTCTCTGACATTGAAACCTCTGTCTGCCAAAACCAGATCTCCTGGGAGCAAATGGGTTAAAAAATTACTGTGCTCTGTGATGAACTTGTCACTTGTGCGGCCTCCCCATCCATTTGAAATGAAAGAAATGGATCCTTGTGGACAAATGGCAATTAAATACTTCATTGTATGGTGTGACTTGTATGTTGAATAACACTGAGCACTAGCTAATAAGTTTCTTGGTTTTTCTATAAATATTTCAAAACAATCAATAATACAGACTGTCTTTTCAAAGGTACTGTTCCTAAATGCATATGGAAGAGACTTTCTTAACGATTCCCTGTCAGGCCATATAACTAGACTTGGCACTAATCTACTATACATTACATCTATACAGCGTTTGAAAATCCTTGAAACTGTCGTCGGATCAACACCAAAATAATAAGCCAAAAACTCAAAAGAGAAATTCATTCTAAGCTTCATTAAAGTTAGCATATACTGCTGAAATAATGTTAGGCTAGACTTAGGCTTGAGATAAGGAGCTACAACATTAAACAATGCCATCAGTAATGAAAATGTTTGTAAACCAGTGAGTACGTTGACCTTTTTATCATTGTTTTGTAAAGTTTTCTCATTCAGTGCAGTTCTGTTTATTTTCTCTTTTAACAACATATTCTCAGTCCTCAGAGCTTCACATTCCACTTCCAGAGATTGAGTGTATTTCTTACAGTTTTCATTATCACATGGTGAAGCTGATGTCTCTTTTTCTTCATGAATAGGATCAACATTTTCAATTTCTGTGTGGGTAATGTTTGATTCCTTCACCTGGTGTGCAGTAGGATGCTCGCTGCCGTCTTGAGGACACACTGTTGAATGGGATACGGCTGAAGCTGGTGACTTTGCTGCTTGCTCTAATCTTTGGAGTTTGCTCTTCTGTCTTCTATTGAACACATCTAACTTCCGCTTTCTGCCTCTCTTCTCTGGGGATGGAACATGGTTGAAGATAGATGGGACGAAGTCAGGTGATAGAGGGTTGTCACTCTTTTTCCCTAAAACATTAGTAAACAGAAAATGGCAACAACTTAAACTTATTTTAGCAGAGCTAATGTTACATTAACATCTACTCATTTATGACACTTTAGTAGCCCAAGTACTAACATAGAAAGTTACAAAGCAATGAACTTTAGTAATCGCTCAGTCAGTGTGTTCACCGAGTGAATACAAATATATGCTGCTAAATGTATACGTTACATTACACACTGACGTGTAAACTCTAGTCTCACATAGTTAAGATTTAGTTGCATATAAGCTTTGTAGAGGGTAGAAAACTTGAACGTAATGGCATTACAATCGTCAGAAACAATATTCAACATGTTAGCTAGCTAAGTTAGCTACATTAGAAAGAACATACCTGATATGAAGTGATCACTGCACAAGCGAAATCCATTGCTTGATGGCTCCCATCGCACTGTTTTGTTGAGCTGGTTAGCACGTTTTATTGCAGTGAGCCATTTCTGTCGTCTATCAGGATCCTTAGGAATACGATAAAATGATTTCCCCTTTGCTTTCCTCCGCCTGTTCTGGCATCCAGGTGCACAGCAGCTGTCCACCATGTTGAAATTGTATTGTTTTAAAATAGATAAGAGACGAAATCATTCGACCGCAAGCGAAATCTCTGCTATAGCCGCTCTGGCGCTCTCCTGATTTGCCTGCCAAAATGGCGGAGTTTAGATTGCGTGACGTCAGCTGCCGGAGCTCTATTGGTCCTTAAACACTAAATTAAATCAAGGAGAAAAAGACATGATTACGAGCTACTATCATGGTAAATAGCCTAAAAATGTGGTAATACCATGGTCTAATAAGCAAGGTAATACCATGGTAAATAACCCAAAAAACTGGTATTACCGTTCTAAAAGCATTATAGCACCATGATAACTTCAGTCAATGCAATCAGGCAGTATCAGCCATGATTATTCATACTTATGTTATATGATGGAAAGAACATCACTCATGTATACAATTGTTGTGATCAAGTTGTGGTACTGCGCAGTGTGTTTCTGCTTCTGGTGACTCAGGCTTCCGCCACACACACACACACACACACACACACACGCGCGCGCACACACGACACCGAGCTCTCTGATTCACAGCAGTAGCAGACATGATATTCATAACCATTAGACGAGTTTACACTGGTGATTTACTCACATCTCAGTGACTGATGCTGCTGAATGTAATCACAGGTGTCTCACGCTCTTCATCCTCATCCTCATCAAACCCCACCGCCGCTTATTTCGCTCTAACCGCGCCTCATTCGAAGGGGAACCTGCTCAATTAAAAGCTCAAACACTAAAGCATACCTACTCAAGTGTAATGAGTGTGCATTAGGCTCTTGCGTGCTCTCGGTTGGATCTGTAGAAGCCGAACCGTTTGAGACACCCCTCGCTGCAGCCTGTAGCACGATGACGTAGCTGGATGGTCCAATACGTAGTGGATGGATGTGTGTTTTGGTGACGTCATTTACGCATGCGCAGTGCCGATCTCTGATTATAATTCGAATGCATTGGTTTTAAGTGATATGTAAGCTCAATATTGTACTGAGATGATGTTCAAACTGTGTAGTATAATACTGTTAAATAATTATAAGTAATTATTGATGAATAAGTAAGGAAAATGCTAAAATAATAACAGCATGGGGAAAATAAATCTTGTAATAATAAACTCGCATTTATGTTATACATTCAGAATTGCGAGAAAAAAGGTCAGAATTCTGACTTTATAGCACACAATTGCGACTTCATTTCACGCAATTCTGTCTTTATAACAAGCGATTGAGGCTTTATTTTACATAATTCTGTCCTTATAACATGCGATTGAGGCTTTCTTTCACCTAATTCTTTCTCTATAACATGCGATTAAGGCTTTATTTGACCTAATTCTGTCTTTATAACATGCGATTGAGGCTTTATTCCACCTAATTCTGTCTTTATAACATGCGATTGAGGCTTTATTTCAAGCAATTGTCTTTATGACATGCGATTGAGGCTTTATTTCAAGCAATTATGTCTTTATAACATGCGATTGAGGCTTTATTTCACGCAATTCTGACTTTATATCTCACAATTCTGAGAAATAAAGTCTGCGAAAAGTATACTCGCAATTGTAAGGAAAAAGTCGCAATTATTGAAATGTATTCTTGGAAGATCAACGATTGTTCACCAACTCTCTAACTAGGCCTATGAATTCTTAATGTGCAAGTGCCATCAGCGTTTATCACAGGATCGCGTTTAAAGTCTGTTTAGAGAGAACGGTGTCATCCCCTAATTTAATAACAAATTATCATTTCGACAGAATCAAAACTAACTATAGCTGTAAAATAACATTATTCACGAACCGCTATAAAGCAAAAACAATCTGTTACATTAAATTAAAGCTGCTTTGAAACAATCTAAATTGTTAAAAGCGATATATAAATCAAGATGACTTGACTTGACTAGTGCGCATGCGCGCGTTACAGGGTCCAACACGTATTGGACCGTCCAGCTACGTCATCGTGCTACAGACTGCAGCGAGGACCTCTTGAACCGTTTCTCCAGCCCCGCGGCGCGCTCAGATCCGGGTCCTAGCGCCGGAGTCTGTGATCGTCAACAACAGGTTGCAGCGCGTTCATTGGACATTCGCTCATGAATATTAATCAGATGCTGACATTTCTTACTGAAACATCGTTGTGTGTGTAATTAATATTCACATCTGAAACTATAAGTTGGTAAATGTATTACTGTAAACAATGAGTTGCCAAAAAAATGAAAACATGACATATTGATTAGTATAAAATAGCCTAATGTTTTGGTGACTTAGAAGTGACTTTGGTTTCATTCTTCATTCATTTAAGAGACTTTATTATGGGTTCATTACAAGGCTTTACAAGACCTTCATGCACTTACATGCTCTTTGTGCAACACAACAATGAGCTCTTTGTACGCATCCAATTTACAAATCTAATTTGACAACCGTGCTTACCCAAATGAGACCAAAATAAATGCATCACACCAGAAAAATAAGTCTGCCTATTCAATGACTGCATACAGTAACTGCACAACTTCACACAGAAACTTAGAAACAGACTCTATGCTTCCAGAATATTCCAACAGACTGCAAAAATCCCTTTTGAGCGCTATTAACATTTGACATCCCTCCTCGCTTTGTCATAAAACTAGACACAATCCATGTTCAGATCAATTAAAGAGAAGTGTAAGGTCAAATGGAGACACCCGTTCCGGAACCTGTGCCAACCGTTGTCATGGACACACCAGTTTCCTGTGTGCACATAGCGCATGGCAGCGTGACCGTTCATTTATTCACTGTGATATGAAGACAACTCTCTTGTCTTGATATAGTGAAGAGCTGCACATCTAAAACGTGTTCACATGGCATCAGCGCTCCTGTCTCCATGGGAACCACTAATGTGGAGAGGCAACAGCTTTTAATTGTTTATCAAATGCCAATTAGTCTCAATAACGAAGTAGAAGGGAAAGGTTGGAGGGTTTGTGTTGAACTTGGCTTGAAAATTTGTGACCAAGAGAGTACAAAAATAGTAAAGCCTATGAGATATATTGGGTTCCTAAAATCATTCCAAGAATGATTCCAATGAAATTGTTTATCTGTGCCGTTATCGTTATAGTTAAATATTCGAATATTTCAATATTCCAGTTTTGATTTTCGATTGGATTGATAATCTGTCCACTATTTCGGACATCATGCATCAGTAGCTAAATTACAGCTGCTATTCATACTATTGCTGTGAATGTAGTTCTTGAAGATATTTAATCTGCAGTAACTTTTTTGGTTTCAAAAAATATTATTAGAATGTATTTTGCGGTTCAAAAAAGGTAATCTGATTGTGTAATTCATATTACTTGTAATGTACTGTATTACTTAAGTAATCTGATTACATAATGCATGTTACCCATAATATGTTGCTTTACTCGTAACATCAAAAAAATCTGATTATCTAATGCACGCTACTTTTAATGCATTGCTTTTTTATGCGGTACATTAAAAAGTAATCTGATTACGTAATGCATGTTACTTGTAATCCGTTAAATACTCGTAACATCAAAAAGAAAACTAATTACGTAATACATGTCACTTGTAATGTATTTACTCGTAACATCCAAAAGAAATCTGATTATGTAATGTGTTACTCGTAATGTGTTACTTGTAATATTAGAAACATAACTGATTATGTAATGCGTTACTCGTAATGTGTTACTTCACTTGTAACATTAAAAAGGTAATTGATTATGTAATGCATTACTCGTAATGTGTTACTTTGCTTGTATCATTAAAAACGTAATCGATTATGTAATGCGTTACTCGTAATGTGTTACTTCTTTTGTAACATTAAAAAGTAATCTGATTACGTAATGCATGTTACTTGTAATCCATTAAATACTCGTAACATCAAAAAGAAAACTTATTACGTAATACATGTCACTTGGAATGTATTTACTTGTTACATCCAAAAGTAATCTGATTATGTAATGTGTTACTCGTAATGTGTTACTTCACTTGTAACATTAAAAACGTAATCGATTATGTAATGCGTTACTCGTAATGTGTTACTTCACTTGTAACATTAAAAAGTAATCTGATTATGTAATGCATGTTACTTGTAATCCGTTAAATACTCGTAACATCAAAAAGAAAACTTACGTAATACATGTCACTTGCAATGTATTTACTTGTTACATCCAAAAGTAATCTGATTATGTAATGTGTTACTCGTAATGTGTTACTTCGCTTGTATCATTAAAAACGTAATCGATTATGTAATGCGTTACTCGTAATGTGTTACTTCACTTGTAACATTAAAAAGTAATCTGATTATGTAATGCATGTTACTTGTAATCCGTTAAATACTCGTAACATCAAAAAGAAAACTTATTACGTAATACATGTCACTTGTAATGTATTTACTCGTAACATCCAAAAGTAATCTGATTATGTAATGTGTTACTCGTAATGTGTTACTTCACTTGTAACATTAAAAAGTAATCTGATTATGTAATGCATGTTACTTGTAATCCGTTAAATACTTGTAACATCAAAAAGAAAACTAATTGGGTAATACATATCACTTGTAATGTATTTACTCGTGACATCCAAAAGTAATCTGATTATGTAATGCATTACTAGTAATGTGTTACTTCACTTGTAACATTAAAAACAAAATTGATTACTCGTAATGTGTTACTTTACTTGTAACATCCAAAAGTAATCTGATTATGTAATGCGTTACTCGTAATGTGTTACTTCACTTGTAACAGTTAGAACAAAATTGATTATGTAATACGTTACCCGTAATGTGTTACTTTACTTGTAACATCCAAAAGTAATCTGATTATAGACCATTTCACAAGATGTAAACAACACTGGTCCAGAAGCACTTCCTGTTTCAGTTTGTAACTGTTTTCTTTATTTCACATGTAAAGAAAACATCTTAAAGATGTTTGTTTAACTTTTTGATTCAGTTTTATATGTTCTGTTGGTTGTATTTTATCCCAGCTTTTATGTAGTGTTAAAAAACTGAAACAGGAAGTGCTTCTGGACCAGTGTTGTTTACATCTTGTGAAATGGTCTATAATGAATGTTACTCGTAATGCATACCCGTGATTTGTTACTTCACTCGTAACATTAAAAAAGTAATCTGATTATGAAATGCATGTTACTTATAATGTGTTACTTACTCCTTACATCAAAAGTAATCTGATTACATTATGGACATTCCCCCAACACTGTATGTTTCAAAAGAGATTGAAAACACCTGATTGCTAGTTTTTCCACAGTCTGGAAACATCAATAGATCAATGTAGATTTCAGTCTGAGTTTTTGCCAGAGAGGAGAGCTACGGTAGAAATATGACCATTTTAAACATAATCAGAATTATCAGCTAATAATTGTTAATCGACACACTCTGGAAGAGCATGAGTGTGATCTACATATAGTCTGAGTTGTGTTTCCACCCAGCTGTATCTTCACCAGATCTTTGATGGAATCACGTCCTCATGTTCTGATATCAAAGACATGCAACGCTCAACTTATATGAAGCTTATTCTCTGTCTGCTGGTCGAACTTGAACAAACTCAACTGCATTTGCAATAAATCCATGAAAAATCCTGACTGAGGTTGTCATAATTCATGCATGAAAAGGTTAATTATATGTGTCCCTGGATCACAAAACTAGGCACATGTCGCACAGGTATATTTGTGGCAATAGCCAACAAGGTCAAAATTATCAATTTTTCTTTTATGCCAAAAATCATTGGTATATTAAGTAAAGATCATGTTCCATAAATATACTTTGTAAATTTTCTACCATAAATATATAAAACATTTATTTTGGCGAACATAAATGGAGAATTTTAAAGGCGATTTTCTAAATGTTTTGATTTTTTTTTTTTTTTTTGCTCCCTCAGAACTTGGCAAAATATTTCTAGCGAAGTAAAAATCTAAATTTTGAAAAAAATTGACCCATATGACTTTTGTGGTCCAGCCAGGGTCACATTTAAAGAATATTTTTCCACTATAAAGAGAAATTTGTGCATTGGAAAGGTTCAATGGATGTTAAATGTTTTTCATTAAACCATAGATGCCAATGAAGAACCTTTATATTTAAGAGTAACTGTTAATGTACTGTAACCTACTGTTAATGTGCAGTGTTTACCATTATTTGATAAATGTCCATGAGCATTTTCATGAGTATAGTGTCAAGCACAGCCAACAGGAAACCAAATTATCTTAATTGAATTCAAGACAAGTTAAAATATAGTCTGTGTCACTAAACCTCCTCTTCCCTTCGCTTAACCTGGTCGTGTTCGATTATTCAACCATGACAGTATAATGAGTGCAATGAAAGCCAGTCTCATAAAATCAACTAAAGGCGGCTCATATCTGTTGCTCATAATTTGTTTAAACGCCCCCAAAAGTGAGATCAGTGGGGAAAAGTGTGTTTGTTTAACTTTAATAGTTAAGTAGATATGATGAAGCTCATTATAGCCTAGATATGGATATTATAGGCTACAAAATTTTTATGTCATGCAGAAAAATGACAATGAGAATAATTAACAAAAGGCTTGAGATTCACTCAGTTTAATACGTTTATTAAAGCGACTATGGAGGTCTAATGACACCCTAAAAAAAGTAGATAGAAACGTGTGTTACAATGTTACTTAATGCACGTGATGGCAGTGTGAGCGCGCCCTCTGGCGGTGCGCGTGAACTGTGCGTTGACGCTAGAGTCTTTTCTTTTTTTGTTTTGTTTGTTTGTTTTTTATTCAACAATTTCACAGTTTACACGAACATTTCTCTCTATTATAAAATAAAATACATTGTGCAGTTTCCAATATTGTGGGTATAACATAAAACATAAACAAAGACTTACAGCAGAGAATGTCTAATTAACTTCCGAGTTCTGGACTGGCTGCAGTAAGGCGTCTCTGTCCATGCGGGGGCGCTCGCGGTCGAGTGCAGAATGAATGGGAGTCAATGGGGTTTCACCCCCAGAAATCCACTTTTCTCAGTATGCAATTTTTTGTCAAGTAATTTGAAAGTTGCATTCAAAAGGGAGGGCTAAGAAAATACACTGGCTGAAAATTGCATTTTTAAGTTCACTTATCTGTTCTAAAAATCCGTTCAAAAATGTGATGACGTCACACAATAGCAGAATGCTAGCGTGTTCCAGCCAACAACAGCCTAACCTGTAAGAAATCAAAAGGACATAAGTACTTGTTCATTCGACTTTTGGCCTATAATCTATATTGAACTTGAGGAATCAACAATAAAATCTATTTTGATTTAACGACAAGCAGGTGAAAGAGACACATTTAGCCGTTTAGCCCCATAGACTCCCATTCATTCTGCACTCGCCCGCGATCACCTCCAGTGGAATTTTAATGGAACTGCAACCAAGGCTCTCCGTTAGACGGGCTCTGCTTACAGCTATCACGTGACACAACAATCACATGACGGACAGAAGTTGAAAACAGGAAGACATCGAACTCGTATTTTAATCTAATCAGGTAATGCTTTATTTGTCGCTGTTTCTACTTAAAACATTTCTATTATTAGTAATTATTAATTTATAAATTGCACTGTCGTATCTACAGGCGAAGTAAACAGATCACGTCATGCATCAACCTATTGTCTTTTGAGTCAAAATGTAGCACTAGTTTAGTTTATTGCGACTCACCATTATTCTGAAACATTTTGTGTGCAAAATAATCGTGCATGTTAAATGCTGTGTTTATGTGCATCACCCGTGTTTGTGAATTGTACAGTATGTGAAATGGCCGCGGCGGTGGAGAGAACAGATGATCTGGTGCGAGAGTATCTGATCTATCGAGGTTTCAACAGCACACTCAAACATCTGGACTCAGAGATCAAATCAGACAAGGAGAAAGGCTTCAGAGTGAGTCTATGTGTTTATTCACCTCCTCCTGCATGCCTGGCTTATGCGGGTTCATGCACAAGTGTAGGACAGTATCATAACAGGACAATCTAACGTCTCTAACAGGCTTTTAGTAAACATTAAATAAGGGTTATCACATCAAAAAGGTCAAGTATGAGTATGCATGAATCAAATATACACGTGTATAATATGTAATAGTGTAAATGTTGGTTTTGTTGATGTGTTTTCCAGGTTGATAAAATCATCGATCAGCTCCAGCATCTGATTCAGAACTATGATCTGGCGGGTCTGAAGGAGTACTGGGGGTATCTGGACCGCAGGCTCTTCTCCAGGCTGGAGGACATCTACAGACCCACCGTCAGCAAGCTGAGGACCAGCCTCTTCCGCTTCTACGTCATACACAGCGTTCAGGTGCTGCACAACACACCCAGGAACTCAACGACTGCATCAGAAAATGTATTTTTGTATGTAAGAAATTTAAAGGGGTGGTTCAGGATTTTGGACATCGGACAGATTAGAACCCAGAACCTCTGACACGCTTGGTAAAAGTCTCGAGCAGGGGCCTCATTTATAAACATTGCGTACGCACAAAAGAAGGCGTACGCCGCTCTCTACGCAATAATTGTTATTTATAAAAAAGCAAACTTGACGGGAAAATGTACGTTCCTTAACGCAAACTCTGACCCAGGCGTATTTACAAAAACGGTTGAAATGAGAAATGGCGAGACCGTCGGCAGATGGAAGAAACGTGAAAGTGTGTGAAACCGTAGACCGTTGTGTAAAAGAAATAAATAACATGAAGACTTCACAAATCAAGTCTTACAATTAACAGCCTACATGAACACCTGTTTGATCGATTTGCAGTGGATAACAAGAAGATAACAACAGAAATGCAAATGAACACACATTTGCAAGAATAAGTGAAATATGTTCTGCAATAATAATTATTGCACGTTATGCAATTCATCCTCATGACACATCTGTAGCTTGTCAGATGCAATCAAATGGATAGTAATAAAATGCTATGATGCCTTCACAATGCGTAATGCAACCTTTTGCCACTCAAGTGCCTTTTTTGCCATTAATGCCCACACTGTGCCCTCCAAACAACATGTTACTCCTCTTTTCCACCTCGCCAATTATAATTTCTACCTCACATTGAGTGAAGATACGTTTCTTGGTTTTCCTTTCTGTGTTTGCCATGATTTCGCAATCGATGAATATTAACTTGGGTGTTTCACAGACTTTTTACGGGCAACTATGGGCGTGACATGAAGCCGCAAAAGCTGCGTTACATTTAGAAATTGATTGATTTATTAAGGGAAAACTGCGTAGGATGTGCGTGCGTACAGTTTTATAAATCCCAATATTTCTGTGCGTACGCACATCCTATGTTTCATCCGTACACCACTTCTGATTCAAATCCTACGCAAAGAACATTATTCTCTCAACAGACATTTACATCGATAGTCTGGTGTTATAATTTATGTTCTTTTGGTGAACTGTGGAGTGGGTAAAACTGTTTTTAATGGCAGGCTAGCAGTTACTGTTGACTCGCGCTAGCCTAGCACAGACAAACTATGTAACTGGAACGACTGGATGAAAGTTTTTGACTGATAAATAACACTCAGGCTAACTTGAAATGAAGTCCGATGTCCAAAATCCCAAACCACCCCTTTAAGCCTGTTTTTGGAACATTGCATTATTTTTTATATATTTTTTTTGCATTGTGGAATTGTCATGAAAACCGCACAACACGTTTACTCCTCCAATTTTGTTACCGCTATGCAAAATTAAACTTCAAGCTAGTATTACATTAAATTTATACTAATCAGTAAGTAAACGTATTAGTGATGAATTATTGAATATCATATATGCTCAAAATAAATAATAGTAAATTAAATGATAATAATTAAAAAGCAATATTATTTCAAGGCAGTACTAAATTAATGTAATTGATGGTATTCATTATATATAGTAAATTCTATATAAATATGTACTTAATATAAATAATAGTAATAAAAGCTATATTATTTCATTTTTAATATATATATATACTTATCAATATTATAAAAAAATAATAATACCATTAAATAATACTGTATATATTTCATGTAATTAATAATACAAAATACATAATAAAAATGTTAAAGAATAATGAATGATAAATTATAATGAATAAATAAAACAGGTTTGTTTCAGTGTCTGTCTATAGTTTATGTTGTGAGACTCATCCTGAATCTGCTGTGTCTCAGTCGAGGAATCCAGAGAAGACGCAGGAGTTTTTCCAGAAGCAGGCGCTGGAGCTGCAGGCTCAGCCGGAGTGGCGGGAATGGTTCGCTCTGCCGTTCCTTTCCACCCCGGAACAGAATCCCGTCTTCTCTCCGTACTTCTCCCGCCAGTGGGCCGACACTTTCCTGGTGTCTCTGCACAACTTCCTCAGCGTTCTCTTCCAGTGCATGCATATCCAAACACTGCTGTTGCCCGGCAACCCATGCGCTGCTCACTGTAACATCCGTCTATTATGGGATGGAGGGAATTATGATCGAGCTTCAGCTGTTTAAATAGCCTTAATGTGGCTTTGACACTTCGAAATTACACATTTTGAATGTGCATTAATCCCTGATATTATATCATATGTAATGTGATGAAATTGATAGTGCTCCTTAACAGCTTCACCTCTGCCTGCGCTCTTGAGCTTTGACAGTGAAGTGCAGAAACTCACGGGTCTTCAGGAGGAGAACGAGCAGTACAGACAGATGGTGAGATCTTCACGGTTTACTAGTTAGTCAGTAATCCCTGATGCAACATGGTAGATATGCAACATCAGTGCTTAATATTTTACCAAAATATACATTGTTCAGCCTTGAATATGTGCACTTACAATGGAAGAAGACTTTGGGATTAGTTTTACGGCCAAAGTATCACAGCATGTGACACTGTTTTGCAAAAAATGTTAAAACTTGTTTAAAAATAAGCATTAATCAAAACTTAAAATTAAAATGACATTGCACAAAACTGAAGCATGAATTCAAAATAATCTCTCTCATTTTGTGTACTGTTTTATCACTTGCTTTTCTAAATTTTCTATGTATTAGAATTTTATGTAAATGAGAAGGGTATTTAGCGTCTATATTGGTCCACTAGTTCTAGATTGACGCCTCCTCTAGCCAATCTAGTTCACCTAAAAAATCAAAACTCCTAATTTATTCACCCTGGTGTCAATCTAATGCCGTACGCCCTTTTTGGACCATAAAAGGAGAATTTTGTGGTCCAAGTTGTGATAAATCAACACTCAACATGAAATAAAATACCTCGAAATCCCCAAAACGTGATAACTTGTTTCAACGAACACAACAAATTATATCGAAAGTACTTGGATTGTATTTCATGATGTGTTTTTCTTAATTTTTTATTCATTCATGCCTTAAAATATCTTGAATGTAACTCAACACCCTTGCCTCATTTAGTGTACATGGCTCTATGAATATGCAGATGAGCCCCGCCCCCACTCACTCCACCACTGGTTGACGATCACACATTGATCTGATTGGTTACAAGGTCGTTTGTGACGTCAGAAACACCAGCGATTTCAAACCGTGTTTGATTGATTTCATGATTTACACATGATTTGTCTTAAAGCATATTAATTAAACACCACATAGACATACAAACAACATTAGCTTGTTTTTCACCAAACACATTTTTTCAAGAACATTTTATAAAAATTCTCCTTTTGAGGTCCAAAAAAAAACAAAAAAACGAAGGGCTTTCGGCATTAAAACAACACCAGGGTGAGTAAATGAGGACTACTTTCATTTTAAGGTGAACTGTCCCTTTCAAAGTTTTGATTCTTGCTTATTATTTTTTGATCTGTGACTTTTAGTGGCCTATTAGAAGAGCAGTAATTTTGTCAAGATGCATCTGCCTGTAATCAAACATCTCCCTTCGTTCCAGTTATTTGCTCTTCAAGGAGAATCACGGCCAAAGAAAGACGAGATGATGGTGCATCACAAACTCCCGCCGTACGTCCAGCACATGGACCGACTCGGCGACACTGAGCTGTGAGGAGACTGTAGCACTGAAATCATCCCTTTGTTCACGCAGGGTGTTTTTATCCAACCATTTCACATTATATCAATGTTTACAAGCATGAACTGAAAATAATGAGACTGACGAGCGTTTGACTAGTGAATAAACATTCACTTGAAACGTAACTTCCTCACAATAGTCTTGATTGTGTCTGTGATCATTTCTGTACATCACTGTGATAATACAGGGTATGTCTAAGTTGGCGAAAAAATCATGTAAAAGAATATGAAATCAAAACCATTTTTGATACACGTGAAGCACACAGAACGGATCTGCACAAATATCCACGGGGTGTAAAGGTTTCTGTTCCTGCAAGCTCTTTGTGAAGATTAAACTACGATTCTTCACAAAAGGCCTCTTCGTCTAAAGTTAAAAGGCATTCAAACTGGAAAAAGGGAAATCTGTGGAAGGGAAGTGAGCGGGAAAATCAGGTAGTGTGAAGTGTGTGTGTTTTCAGAAACGTGAGCGATGTTTTATCTGTTTTCTCAGTGATCTCGTGTACAGTCAGAGGAACGTGAACATGACCACGCCGTCCAGAAACTTCTTCTCCACGTTCCTCCCTCAGGCCAGACGTGCTCCTGGGAAAACGGCCCCGGGGTCACAGTCTTCGCCTACGCAGGCCTCGCTGGGCCGGAAAGACTCTCCCTCCGGAGCGCAGGTACATCCAGCGTTATTACAACATCATTAAGATACTTTTGAATGGATGGTTACACTTAAAAATTAAGAAAGAAAAAAATAGCCAATGATTTTATCACCCTCAAGTCCTCCTAGGAGTACATGACTTTCTTTTTTCAGACAAATACTATCAGAGTTATATAAAAAAATATCCTGGCTTTTCCAAGCTTTATAATGTCAGTGAATGGTTGTTTCTGTTTTAAAGTCTATAAAAGTGCATCTGTCCCCTTAAAAGTGCATCTATCCATCATAAAAGTGCATCTATCCATCATAAAAGTGCATCTATCCATCATAAAAGTGCATCTATCCATGTTTAAAGAGCATCTATCCATGATTAAAGAGCATCTATCCATTATGAAAGTGCATCTATCCATGATAAAAGTGCATCTATTTACCATAAAAAGTGCATCTGTCCATCATAAAAGTGCAAATATCCATGATAAAAGTGCATCTAACATCATAAAAGTGCATCTATCCATCTTAAAAATACATCTGTCATCATAAAAGTGCATCTATCCATCATAAAAGTGCATCTATCCATGATAAAAGTGCATCTATCCATGATAAAATTGCCTCTATCATCATAAAAGTGCATCTATCCATCATAAAAGTGCATCTATCCATTATGAAAGTGCATCTATCCATGATAAAAGTGCATCTATTTACCATAAAAAGTGCATCTATCATCATAAAAGTACATCTATCATAAAATTGCATCTATCCATCTTAAAAATACATCTGTCATCATAAAAGTGCATCTATCCATGATTAAAGTGCCTCTGTCCATCATAAAAGTGCATCGGTCCATCATAAAAGTGCATCTATCATGATAAAAGTGCATCGGTCCATCATAAAAGTGCATCTATCCATCATTAAAGTGCATCGGTCCATCATAAAAGTCCATCTATCATGATAAAAGTGCATCTATCCATCATAAAAGTACATCTATCATAATAAAAGTGCATTGGTCCATCATAAAAGTGCATCTATCATGATAAAAGTGCATCTATCCATCATAAAAGTACATCTATCATGATAAACGTGCATCAATCCATCATAAAAGTACATCTATGATAAAAGTGCATCTAACCATCATAAAATACATGTATCATCATTAAAGTGAATCTATCCATCATAAAAGTGCATCTGTCCATCATAAAAGTGCATCTATCATGATAAACGTGCATCTATTCATGATAAAAGCACAAACTTTGAGGTGTTTGTAAATATTTTGAATTTGTTTTTATTTTGTATTTTTTCATTTCAATGAAAGTTTGTGATTTTATTAGTTTAAAAAAATGTCTCTAGTTTGTATTCATTTTTATTTAATTTAGTTATTTTAGCAAGCTGGTAACACTTTAAAATAAGTTTCTATGTGTTAACTTTAGTAAACATGTACTATCAATGAAACATACTTTTCTTTTTAGAGAGAGAGAATTGATAAAGTTCATTTACATGATTAAAATCAAAAATTGGTTTATAATTATAAGATGGAGCTAAACTAACAAACAACAGTTTTAGTTATTAACAAATATAAATAAATACTGTAACAAATGTATTGCTCATTGTTAGTTTAAGTTAGTTAATGCATTAACTAAAGGGACCTTACTGTAGAAGTGTTGCAAACGTTGCTTTATCAACCCGATGTCTCTCTGCTAATCTAAAGGTCTTTCTCTCTGTGATTCTCAGTCTGTGAAAGCGAAAGATGCGCCCGGCGCGAAGGACTTGAAGACGGCCACTGTTTCCGCGGTGACGGTGGATTCGGTCACGGGTCATCCCCGAACGAGAAGAGTGCATGACCACGAGAAAGAGAGAAAAGAGCTGCTGTCCAAACCTTCAGTGCAGGTCCGAGAAACAAAGCCCATGTTCTGTGTTTTCTGCGGTTTTCTCCTCGCGTAACTCTGGCACTACAGTAGCCAAACACTCTTCCAAGGAATTTAGTCCGGAACGTATTTTTCCCATTCGTTTTCTCCTTGGGGAAGTTCCATGAACCAAACCAACCAGATAAATCACATTAACTTTATAATATAAAGATTTCTGATAACACTTTACAATACGATAAGTATTTTTCATTCTGAGTTAAAATGTTAACTAATGTTAAACCCATCCTGGTTTTGCTATTATTTCAATTGGGATATTAAATTAAGTTTAAAATCATACTGACTACATCATGCATTTTTCCGTGTGTATTTTTGATTTCCACAGAGTTTGGAGAAGAAAAACGATTCGGATCCAGACACTCAAACCGAAGCTCTTCCTGATCAAACGGACTCCACCAATCAGACGCGAGTCTTTGAAGTGGGCGGAGCTGGAGTGGAGCAGCCCTTTATTAAGCTGAGTCAGGAAGAGTATGGAGAACATCACTCATCCATCATGCACTGCAGGTGTGTGTGGCCAGGAGACATCAAATGGGTCGCATTATGGTTTTTTTAATTTATTTAAAAATTAAATAAAATTAACAATTATTAATGTTGCCGTTTGAGCATGAAAAAGCTCTTCAAAGTTATTCTCTATATCAGCGTCACTGTTTCTGACTCCCTGAAGTGAGTTTTCTTCAGAGAACGAACACTTCACAATATTCCTCATTTTAATAATTAATATGCAGAATAAAGGGGCGGGGCCTGGTTGAGTTAGTTAGTAGTGTGTTAAACTGGCGGTTATGGAAAGGGGCGGGACATTTCCCAAACACACTCAAAGCGCTCGACCAATCACAGCACACTGATCCAGCCGACCAATCAGAGCACAGTGTGCTTTTTTAGAAGGAGTGGCTTCATAGAGATGGGAAGTAAACAGAGCGTTACTGACAGACTGGGAAGAGAGGAGCCGCAACAGTGGAGAATATGAGGAAAATAATCAACATTCAAGCGGGAAAACCTGTTCTAGTGGAGACTAAAACACAATCAAAACCTTGGAAATGGTCATAATTCACTGTCTAATAATCCTCATCCTCCTCTGACTCTTAGTATTTCACTGGCTGTTGGATTGCAGTATGTAAATGAGCTCTGTTGTGATTGGCTAATCTCTGCATACTGTTTTGGATACTAAACACTGGATGTGTTAATGAGCTTATGGGCATTTCTGTGTTTTAGTTTTACTATAGGAGCATTTATTGGCATCATCAGTTGTGTGTTTGTGTTTTAGGGTGGACTGCTCAGGCAGAAAAGTGGCCAGTTTGGATGTGGACGGGGTGGTGAAGGTTTGGGCCTTCAATCCCATCATGCAAACCAAAGCCACTATCATGTCCAAGTCTCCACTTCTCTCTCTGGAGTGGGCGGCCAAACCTGACCGACTGGTAAATAACATCACGGTTCATGGATATAACCAGAGAAATAGAGTGCTTACATTTTCTTGTTGCCAAAAACAGTATTTGGTTGGTTTTATTGGTTTATGTGGTGTTTTACTCTTGCAGCTGTTGCTCGGCAGTGGCGTCGGCACGGTGAAGCTTTACGATACCGACGCCAAGAAGAGTTTGTACGAGATGTCAATAGACACCGTCCACCCACGGTGAGTCCTCACAGATCACTAGTGTTGGGCTTTGACACACATTTCAAAGTAAACTAATGTGGTGAACTTTTTAGGGAACACTGTCAGTACATTAATAGTACATTTGTAGTGCGTTTCTGTATTTGGTTGTGCTATGAGTAATTGGAGCACACGTGTGTTTTGAAACTGATAAAGATGTTTTCTTAAGGCGAGACACTACAGGTGAATAGGGTAATTTTTTTAAGTAGCAGATATCAACATGAAACTTTCCCAGTTGATTACCTACATTAAGATGAGAAAAAAATATATTACAAGTTTCGTGTAATTTAATGTTTAAATATGCAAATGAGGCATTATCTAATTAAATATGCACTAAATTGCATATATTTTAAAAACGAAATCTGAGTATTGGATAAAGCCAGGTTGAAAATAATTTTTTCATTGTGTTCACATATTAGATGAGAAAAAAATTACAGAAGGATTTATGGATATCTACTTTTTTTATCCTATAAATCATTATACACTGTCTGTATCCTTAAAAAAATATTTTTGACATGTTTTTTTGGAATAAAATGTTATATAAATTAGGCTAGGAATAATATATTTACAAATCCCTCTGTAAATGTCTTCATAATATAACTAGGTACACGACTGAACAGTTTGGTGTGCTACTGAAGTGGAGATTTCGGACTTGGAGTATGAGAGAAACGTCATTTTGAGAAAACTGTCTTTAAAGATTTAGCATCAGCCAATGAGATCGCGCATTTAGAGTTAAATCCCCCCTTTAACTTTCACGATTGGTTGCTGATAAAAAGGAAATGACCATATTTGGATCCAAAGAGAGCTTTCTAACCGTATGTTTGATGACAGGGTGCAGATCGCGATCACTGAGCAGCAGGATGATTTATAACGACAACTTTTGAAGAATTTATGAGAAATCTACAGACTCAAACAGACAAAGTGTAGTAGAATAAAGACCTAAATGTGTATTTCGGACTTTTTTTCACCACAAGTCTGAAAAAAGACATTATTGAAGACAAATATCCCAAAATCTCAAAATTGATCAGTGAAAAAAAACCGGATGTTTTTGCCTGCCGTGTCTCGCCTTAATTTGCGGGTGTTTGTTTAATTTGTCGCACATTGAGCTCTCTCAGCCACCGTATATATGGCTGTTTATATAAAATATCTTTTTAATAATAGCTTCTTATGTTATTACTCCAGTTTGTTTTTCAAATGGTGGCTGTCATAACGTACTTGACGGATTTATTCAAATATATGTTAAATATGGGATAGAGATGCCACCATCGGTAACGGCCGATATATGTTCATTTTTAATATTATCAGGCTGATTTAAGAGAATTTAAGGCCGATATGTTAAGGGATTATGGATTGTTTCCTTCAGCTGACACACTTTCACTGATGTGCACTCTTCAAGACGGTTTTAAATTGCTTGAAATATGATTTGAATCATGTCAAAAAAAAGGAAAATACAATTAAGTGCAACATGTGCAGTTCTAGTCTGTCATATTGGCTACATAAAATCATAATGAGAACGTGATTATAATTGTGAGTTTGGGATATGGATTTTAATGGTGAGAGTTTTGTTTTTGTAATCAGGCTCTAAAAAATTATATACAATTTGGATTTAGATTTATCGGCCAATTTATCGGTTATCGGCTTTTAAATATAAAGGATCGGTTATTGTATCGGCCAAAATTTTTAAATATAATAAATATGCAATATAGTGCATATATTGATCAAAATGCTGCTCTCTAGAGTTATTTTTCTATCTAATGAACAAGCTTATGGTAATTGAATGTTTTTCCTGTTGTTCGTAAGCTGTTTTTTTCATCTCCGTGGTTGAAACACTGATTGATCGATTATATGAGACATGATTCCTTTTAATCGGTTTCTCTGTTTTTCAACATTCCTTCTGATGTTAATTCATGTTTATTTGGTGCTTCAAATATTAGTAAAGCAGACGAGATTATGGTTCACGTGCCCCTTGACCTTAGACATTCAAGAGCATCAAAACAAAATTTTTGCTTGATTTTTATTATAGAATTGAGATAGACAGAATTTAAAAGACTCTTATCAAAAGTATCAAAGCTCATTACATGTCATTGGATTGGAGGCGTAAACAAATAATGTTTAGTTTTCTTCACGCATCAACTGAAAACAGCCTAGACTAAAAGATCGAATCTTGGGATTTAAGAATCGACATCGGTTTGACATTTTCAACCCAGCTCTACAGATTACCCATGATGCACCAATATATTAATCTCAATTTCTACATGCATCTTATTGATAAGCTATTTTTGCATAATCTTTCTCATACCCTTTTTATAAAGTAGTCCACTCAGAACATATTTGTGTGTGTTCAGGATCCTGTCGCTGGCCTGCAGTCCCAGCGGGACGTCGTTCGTTTGCTCCGCGGCGGCTCAAGCTGCGAATTCTGCAGTCGTTACGGAGAGCGACACACGAGGATCCGGTCCCGTATCCGGACATCTGCTGCTGTGGGACACCAAAACGGTCAAGCAGCAGGTACTGATGCCAAACGCCACCAACACAGACATGTAACGACTGCACACTGGCGTACTGACGTTTATCTGATTGTTATTGCGTTCAGCTGCAGTTTTCGCTGGAGCCGGGACCGGTCGCCATAAACTGCACGGCGTTTAATCACAACGGAAACCTCCTGGTGACCGGAGCGGCAGACGGGATCATACGACTCTTCGGTAGTACTTTATTTTCCAATCACCTACACAGTAATAATCAATGTCGATGTTGCAAAATTCATCAATTGTGAAAAATTCAATTAGTTCATTAGTTCAATTCAGAATCAGTTCAATAACTTTGTCGTTGTTGCAAAGTTAGTGATATTTTAGTCAGTCCTGGTGTCATTAAATCGATAATATTGCTGAATATCAATTGTCTTCTAATCTCCAAGTGTCAGGTTTGTTATGTTTGTATATCATTGATTTCCTATGTTCAGTTCCTGCTTCAGTTATTCCCTTTTCCCGCTGCTTTTCTGTTTTCTGGGTTTATGCACTAGTTTGTTGTCATGGTTCTGAATGATCTGTTCACCTGCTTCTTGTTCAGTTGGTTATCTACAGTGTATTTAAGCCATCTGTTCTCTGTAGGGCTGGGTAATAAATATCGATTTCTCGATACTAATCGATTCTCATTTTTAAGAACCGATATCGATATTCTTAAATCTCAAGAATCGATTAGTCATCCTGTTTCATTTGAATGAATAGGACGTTGTATCGCGGCTGCGCGCATCCCAAAAAAAAAAAAAAAAAAAAAAAAAAAAAAATCGCAATAATCTTTCTCCTTTCTTACTATTGATATGAAACAAAGCCTCAATTTCAACGTCCATTTTCTTTAGAAATTCAAAAACATTAATAAGGTTTTGGCGCTGTGGCGTGAGATCGCTCTGGCTCAGCTCAAGAGAAGCAGCAGCGCTGATCTCTCTTCCGGGTTAATAATACCAGTCACAGCGCGAAATAAACATGAATGAGCATCTGAAAGTGTGTTAAAGATAGAGCACAACTTATCGAAATCTTATGTCACATTGATTCGCTCAATCAGCGTTTCAACCGAGGAAAGACGTCAGTTAAACAGCTTGTAATCAATGTATCGTCATATTTACCTCAGAAAACCCACATAAACTCGTTAGTCAACTAGAAAAAATAACTCTAGAGAGGAGCATTTTGCTAAATATATACACCATATTACATATGCATTATAATCTTAATGTTCTTCAATATTTAATTGCATTTTGAATAAATCTGGCAAGTTTTTATGACAGCCACCATTTAAATGTTTATATTTCATATAATCTTATTATAAAAATAAATAAAAGTGTAATTTAAGTGTTTGTATAGCTAAAAAACGTTAAGTTAAGAGATTTGATTTCCTTGAGAAAATTTGCCATTTATTGTAACTGATATAATATAAAATAATCGATATTGAATTGAAATCGAATCGAATTGCAAGCTTGTGAATCGAATTGTGAAATTTGTGTCAATACCCAGCCCTAGTTCTCTGTCTAGTATTGTCTTTGCCTTTTCCTTGCCTGCATCTTGGCACCAAATGGCTCATTTAATTCACATGTTGAAATGTTTGTCTGCAGACATGCAGCGCTATGAGAGCGCGTTGAGCTGGAAGGCTCATGATGGTGAAGTGTACAGCGTGGAGTTCAGCTACGACGAGAACACGGTCTTCAGTATCGGAGAGGACGGGAAGGTGATGGGAATCTGTGTTTATACTTGATGAATATCATTAACACTAATGATGAGCCACACACACTGATGTTTTAATGCAGGGTTTCCCACACAGAGTTTGATTAAAAGCTAGTAATTTATTATATTGAATGTCAAATTAAAATAAATGAATGTAGCACGAATATAGCTATTAGCCGATTCCGATATTCGTCACTTGAACACTTATTTAAACTTTTTGTCATTTAAGGTTACCTCATATTTTACAATATTATAGAACTTTTCATATTTCCTTACTAAATAGAAAGACATAATACAACACACAAAGTTAATTAATAAACTATCGGTTTGCTATACTGGCCTTTTTCATGCTATATCCGCGATCAGCGATATAAAATAGCGACCGATAGATACATCAGTGCAACTCTACTTAGTCTTAGGGAACTTAAAATAAATATTTCATGAACCCGTTGTGAAATCTAAATGTTTAGCCTTCTGCCTTCACATTAAATACCTTGATATGACAGGATTATGCCCTTGATAAATCAACAAACAATGATAAACGTGACCGCACCTTTAAAGTTTGATTCATTTCAGTGAATCAGTTCAAAGCTCTGATTCAACAATTCATTCATTTCTGGTTAGACGCCAACGATTAAAACTTGCTCGTGTTCATCTGAGATTATTGTATGTAAACATCATGTATTTGTTGTCAGTTTGTTCAGTGGAATATCCATCGCTGTGGCGTGAAGCAGTCGGAGTACTCGCTATCCCAGGATGCCGTGGGGCCGTTTGTGCTGTCGGGTTACAGCGGATATAAACAGGTTCAGGTTCCACACGGTCGCCTCTTCGCCTTCGACTCTGAGGGGCAACACGTTCTCACCTGCGCCAGTAATGGAGGAAACATCTACCGGGTAACACACATTCACCAACCGCTCTTAGATGAGCTCAGGTCATTGAGGAATTGGTTCCGGTTTCGTTACCTGTATCTTTTTAGCCGTTTCGGTCATTATCAATTGGGGCTGGTCATTTTTTTCAATGAATAGTTTTTTAAAACATGGTCGATTTGATGTTGATTCCCAAAAGCCAAGTTCCCCACTTATAACTTGTAATTATGACTTTGTGGTGCCATTCCCAACTCAACTAAATAATGTCTTTCTGACATGACTTGGACGCACCATTACAGGGTTAGTTCACCCAAAAATGAAAATTAAGTCATTAATTACTCACCCCCATGCTGTACCAACCCCGTAAGACCTTCGTTCGACTTCGGAACACAAATGAAGATATTTTTGATTAAATTTGAGAGCTGTATAACTACCACATAGGCTCCTAAGGGACTAGCACTTGACGGGCCAGAAAGTCAATGAAGAAAATGTTTAAATATTCCAAGTGACTACCGTGGCTCAACTATAAGTTTATCAAGCGACGAGAATAGTTTTTGTGCGAAAAAACAAACAAAAATAACGACTTTATTCGACTATTCCTTTTCTTCCTTGTTGGCCTGAAACGAGACTTCCTTAGATTTCCACGACGCATGCGCGAGAATTGAACTGAAGTAGTTGAAGGAGATCGCAATTCTCGCGCATGCGTCGTGGAAATCTAAGGAAGTCTCGTTTCAGGCCAACAAGGAAGAAAAGGAATAGTCGAATAAAGTCGTTATTTTTGTTTGTTTTTGCGCACAAAAAATATTCTCGTCGCTTGATAAACTTATAGTTGAGCCACGGTAGTCACTTGGGATATTTAAACATTTTCTTCAATGACTTTCTGGGCCGTCAAGAGCCAGTCCCTTAGGAGCCAATGTGGTAGTTATACAGCTCTCAAATTTAATCAAAAATATCTTTATTTGTGTTCCGAAGACGAACGAAGGTCTTACGGGGTTGGTACAGCATGGGGGTGAGTAATTAATGACTTAATTTTCATTTTTGGGTGAACTAACCCTTTAAGTTTGATTAACTTGAATCTTATTACTTCTCCACTAGATGACACCCTCTTATTTACCATGTTATTTACTGCTGAAAGGGTTAGTTCACCCAAAAATTACAATTATGAGTTATTATGTCATTAATTTCTGTCGTTCCAAACCTGTAACACTTTTGTTCATCTTAGGAACACAAATTAAGATATTTTAATGAAATCCGAGAGCCTTCCCAGACAGCAAACTGACATTGAATCAATGTGGAAACAACATCTCTCATGACATTGAAAGAACGTTGATTTTGCTAATCAAATTAACGTTGAACCAACGTCAGACGCGGCATTCTTCAAAGCTAAATGAAAATCGAAAATTGGTTTGCTTTCATAACGTTGAAACAACGCGTTGATTTCAAGTTGATTTTCCGTTAGTTTTGAAAGAATGACGCGTCTGACGTTGGCTCAACCATAATTGACTCTGTGCACGAGAAAAATGCTAACTTCCGCCTTGAGGGCGGATGTTGGGTACTTCGGTTCCGGTTCCCGTTGTTTACATCCTACATCAGTGGACCGGCTATCTAAAGCTTAGCTATCTAAATATATTTGTCTAAAACTATGTTCGTTTGTTCATCGTCAAGTCAACCAACACAGTTTTCACTCATATTTGGGTGGAGCCAGGCGCTGCTGCCTTGTGAAAAGTAAACGATATTTCACATTTTGTCACCGCACCCAAGCAGTCGCTTTACAGAGTGGAGCGTTCCGTATCCATGACAACTAGAAGGAAGTTTTTAGGCTACTAATTATTTATTATATTATACCCTTTAACCAGGAGAAGCCCCTGGGGTTAGAACCTATTTTGCAAGGGAGACCTGTTTAGAAATATATGTGAACAGCCTAATATGTGTTAAACAGCCTAACTTGATAACGAACAAACCAACGTCGGATACCTTTACTCCCTGTATGACATGTATAGTGGTTGTCAACACTGATCTATATGACATTCTATATAGATAGCTGCTAGTGGTTGTCAACAACATAGCCTCTGAACATCTTAAACAAAACAATGGCCAACACAAACTGTTCTGGAAAATGCACTTTCTAACGCATGATTTCGCATTTTATAATGTATAGAGAGATATAACAGTTACCAAATCGCATAGCTTGAGCACGTAGCATGGCAACATTAATGTCCGAGTGATTCCACGTGTACCGCGTATGTACACGCCGTCAAATGTCCGAGCGAAACAAAACAAAATGTAGATCTACATCTGGGGAGCGATATTTATTTTTTCCTAGGATGGTAGGAGTGACGGGTAGGTTGGGGTTGAGGTAGGTCATATGCTATCATATATATATATATATATATGAAGAGTTCAGATGCAAAAGCCTCTAAATGCCATTTGAAATTTTTTTCTTGAATGATGATTTTTATCAAACTTGTATATTTAAGTTCAGTGATCTCACTTAAATAACAATTAATAGGTAATTATCATTGCCATTTAAGTGAAATCACTGAACTTAAATATACAAGTTTGATAAAAATCATCATTTAAGAAGAAAATTTCAAATGGCATTTAGAAGCTTTTGCATCTGAACTCTATACAATAATAACGTTAAGTCAACGGTATTCATAAACACGCTGAAAAGAGATTATGCGTGTTGATAGCATGCCAAAAATACGTGATACGCGTCATACATAAGCAATTTCATGAGATCAGTCTGAGCATGGATGTTGCTGTGACTTAACGTTCCCTTCAAAATGATGCAAATACTGAGAAATGTAATATTTAAACCCCTTCTCTCTTGCTCTGGGGAGCTGGAGGAAAATCATTAGCCAGTCGATGAACATAATCGACTGTAATATTCGGCAAATGTTCAAGACATCTGAAGAAACATACATCCTCTACGTCGTCCATCAGGCTACCGGAAACTAGACACCCCATATCGGTTTCGCAGCCGGAACTAGCATATGCTAACGTGCACATAGTCCATTCGATGAGCAAAACAATGTCAGATCAACGTTGTTTCGATGTCATATTTCCACGTTGATTCAATGTCAGTTTGCTATCTGGGTTACAGCTTATGTTTTAAGATTTTATTATCCTAAAAGTAAAATAACCTGATTATTGAACAAGGCATGTGACTGCTCTGTTTGAAATAGAGAGGTAGTTGTTTTAATTAATGTGTTCCTGAAATAAAAAAAGTTTAATATAAAGTTCTGTGGCTCTTAATGTCTTTGTATTAATTCACCATTTGTAAACTGATGTATAGTAAGAATAGTATTTGAATTGAATCTATATCCATTGCATCTGATCGAATCAACACATATGTACCGAAACAGTGTTATTTTAGTAGCATTGATAGTATTATAATTTTTATTAATTCATTTTCATTTTAATTTGAAAGTTTTAGTAATTAAATCTAGTAAATCGAACCTAATAGGCCTATCTTCTCTCCTCTCGTCTAGTTAAGCAAGGCGGACGTGGGTCTCGAAAGCGTTTTGTCTCTCGGTGGTCATAAAGCACCCGTCGTGACGGTGGATTGGTGCTCAGCGATGGACTGTGGCACGTGCCTCACCGCGTCTATGGACGGCAAGATCAAACTCAACACGCTTCTCGCTCAGAAACCCTGAACAACGGATTGGAAATGCCAGTGAGGAAGATGATGATGAAAAGTTAAACTCACATGATGTCTTATGAACCAGTCAGACATGTGACCAGTAGAACATATCATGATATCAACAATACTAAGGATTCAAAGAAGATGGATTTACAATTGCACAGAATGAAACGTAAAAAAAAAAAAAAAAAAAAAAACTATAGATCCAGAGAATGATGACGTGTGTTTCACAAAACATTTGTTTCGGTGTGAGTTAGTGATATCTTTTGAGCATATGCGGAGAAATGTTACGTTAGAAAGAACAAATATGATTCAGTCAGGTCAGTTTAGAAAAGGCATTAGCTTCTAAAAGATGCTGTTTATTTCTTACTGTTGGAACCTGAAGATGCAACTTTACCAAGTAATAAAGTATTTGAATAATGTTCATATACAATTGTTTTTGCATCTGTTGTACATTCAAATAAATATCATCAATCAACAAAATCCTGTAGTCATTTTAACTATGGTTTTTTGGAGCTTGGTTGAATTGCAAATACATGGAAAAACAAAGTAGCAGCTGTCAGGGAAATTCTTCATACGAACACAACCTACATAATCTGACATCTTCACCACGGAAAATTTAAACAACTTCCAGTTGTTTAAATAATAACTACAGTCTCTTGAGGTAATTCCCTGAATTCTCAAAATACAATACAATACTTTCCTGAAGTAAAGTGACGGCATCCCATCAAGAAGCTATCTATACACACTGTCCTTCTCAGGTGTGCTCGACACAGGATCATTAAAGGGTTAGTTCACCCCAAAATGTAATCTCTGTCAGTAATTACTCTCCCTCGTGTTGTTCAAACCCTGTCAGACTTTCCTTCATTTTCAGAACACAAATTTAAGATGTTTTTGATTAATTCTGATAGTTGCATCACTTCTCCATATAGGCTTCTAAGGCCCCCGTCCACACTACTGCGTTTTCGTTTAAAAACGGAGAATTAAAACGAAAACGATCTCCGTCCACACTAGCGGTTTACCTGCGTATTAGAATTTATCTCCGTCCACACTAAAACGACTGAAAACTTGGATCACGTGACCATTCACAAACACTGGGCATGCGTGTTCCGGTGTAAACAATGGTTGGCGAATCAGGGAAAGATACGTCATGACTGATGACACCCAATCATAGAGCCAAGCGTCAGCCTCTGCGTCATCGTTTGTAAACTCCTCCGTTTTGTCTCGTCCACACTAAAACGCCCTCCGGAGATTCAAAACGAAAAACGCAGCTGCAGCGTTTCTAAACTTCTCCGTTTTAGGTCTTCGTTTTTCCCGTTTTAGTGTGGACGGGAGGTGCAAACGTAGCAAAAGGTCTCCGTTTTTAAACGAAAACGCAGTAGTGTGGACGGGGCCTAAGGGATCAAAACTTGTCGGCCCAGAAAAGATATTAAAGAGTCTTTAGAGTCTCAGATTTACTCAAAAAAAAAAAAATCTTAAACTTGTGTTTAATAAAGACATTGTTAAAATAGTCACAGTGACTATGGAGCATCACAGTCCCGCCCACAGCCCGAGAGAGCGTTGGTGCCGGAAGTAAATTTCCCAGTAATTTCTCCCATTGACATTTTGTAAAATCCATATCTAAAGAGTATTAGAGCATGTCTAAGGATAACCAGCTACGGCTGAACTCATAAGCATACAACATATCATTTCGAGTGAAAAAACGAAGAGAAAATCCAAAGAAAGTCAAGGGTACAAGCCTGTGTACATATTTTCATTTCCGAGCAAAGGAACTACTCCTCCCATAAACCACCGCGCCTCACTAAAGTCGACTGAAGCCACCGTCAAAAGAGCCTTTTGAGTGACTTCCAAATCTGACGACGGCCACGTGAACTTTTTCCTCCAGTGAATTTTATAAAGTGAATGTGCAGGGAAAATCCTTTTCCTTGATTTACTGAAGCAAACGCATTTGCAGCTCCACATGCTAAAACATTGAGCATCTGGCTCGCTCATATGTTGTGCTGCGGCAACTGCACATCAATGGAGAAATTGTATTGAATTTTTACTTCCGCCACCGGCTGTGGGCGGGACTGTGATGCTCTATTAGTGACCATTGTATAACAGCGCAGCGCTTCTGTGTCGTACGTCACACGCATCACACACGTGACCAGCGTCGGCCAATAGTGAGCCTGCGTGTGACGTACAACACAGAAGCGCTGTGCTGTTACACTTCGAGAACTCACTCAGAGGTGCAGTCGTCTTGTCCCCTTTGCAGAAAAGCATCCCCAAAGAATGATGTTTCCACCTCCATGCTTTACGGCTGGGTTGGTGTTCGTGGGTTTGTTCCCTCATCCTTCTTCCTCCAAATACAGCGGGTGGAGTTTAGACCAAAAAGCTCTACTCTTTGTCTCAGACAACATGACCTTCTCCCATTCCTCCTCTGGATCATCCAGATGGTCATTGGTAAACTGAAGATGGGCCTGGACATGCCCTGGCTTGAGCAGGGGGACCTTGAGTGCGCCGCAGGATTTTAATCCTTGACGGCGTGGTGTGTTACTGATGGTTTTCTTCGAGACTGTGGTCCAAGCTCTCTTCTGATCATTGACCATAGATCACCTTCCTCATGATCATTGAGGCCCCAAAAGGTGAGATCTTGCATTGAGCTCCAGACCGGGGGAGATTGACCGTCATCTTCAACTTCTTCCATTTTGTAATGATTACGCCAACTGTTGCTGCCTTCTCACCAAGCTGCTTGCCTATTGTCTTGTAGCCCATCCCAGCCTTGTGCAGGTCTACAATTTTATCTGATGTCCTTACACAGCTCTCTGGTCTTGGCCATTGTGGAGAGGTGTGTGGACAGGTGTCTTTTTGGAACCAATTCGGAAGCACGCCTGGTAAATGCACACGCCATGGATCAAGCGCACCTCCTTCATCATGCTCTTAAAGAAAATGTGATATGACGCTCTTATTGGTTTGTTTCCGTTACGCCCAAACCACACCTATGAATAAAAATGAAGCTACTTCAGACCAACCCCTTTTATATTTGTTGGGCGCAAGAGTCATTTATCCCGCCGGTATAATAGCAACAGCGCCCAAGACCCGCCCACTTGCATTTTAGATTGTTAAAATAGGGCCTATGGAGTCGATCAGACATGATTTTGAATTGAAAATTTTGTTTAGTATAAAGCCTTTCTTTAAATTACATTTTGTTTGGTATAAATTGTATCTTAATTTTGATAAAATTTCCATCAACCATTTGCCTTTATTTAATAAATAAGAAGCAAATATAAAAATGACATGGAGGCACCAGCACGGTCACTTACATGCATTGCACATGAGCATGCCATCATAAATTAAATGAAACTCAACAACTTGCACTGCCAATTTTGTCCCGGCATCCATTTTCAAATAGACAACTACTGTTTCGCATCATTTTCCATTTCACTTCTTGCGTGTGTTTTCGTGACAAAACATGGTTTGGGGGCCGGATAGAGTCATTGGGTGACATAGTTGTTGTCAGCTTATGTCAGCTTATATATATGTATAAAACACTCATGTTTCTTTTTTTTCTCTCTTTGCTCATGTCTCAACAGCAGCAAAATCCACCCTAATGGCTCTTTTTAAGAGCCAAGACAATCAATATAGTGCATCTTTGGCTTTGTAAGTATGTTTACTAAAAAGTGCTATATAAATAAATGTGACTTTACTAACTGTCAAACACCTTCTCAGCAGTGGTGGAGGAAGTACTGAATCTCAGTACTTAAGTAAAAGTACAAATACCCAGATAAATATTTACTTTAGTAAAAGTAGAAGTAACACAATGACAACCATACTTAAAGTACATTTAAAATAAAGTACTTTTTACTTAAGTATTAAAAGTAAAAGTACTTGCATAACAATTTATTATCTTAATGTCTATTTTCTAATGATTAATAAAACATTTAATTCTAGCTCATTCAACCTAATAGCCTACTCCTATAATGATGTTCAATAATGATGGAAAAAAAATGTCACCATTTCTGAAACAAGCTTGCAATTAGGCAAGATCACGCTTATCCTTACTATATGTTAATAACTATGTTTGGCAGTAAACGAGATTAATTTATGGTGTAATTATGAACCTCTTGGCTTGTCATAATCCTAACCAAACCAAACATATATTACACACGCAGTGGTGGAAAGAGTACTGAAAAAACATACTCAAGTAAAAGTACCATTACATTCCAAAAAATGTAGTGTGAGTAGAGTAAAAAGTACTTGTCCAAAAAACTACTTGAGTAAGAGTAAAAAAGTAGCTTATTTAAAAGTACTCAAGAGTAGTGAGTAGTGAGTACTGAGGTGCGGATTCTAACCCTTATAATAAACACTGTGCACTACAATTTATAAATTAAAAAAATGCACTACTGGAATTCACATTATATTTTGTTCTTTGTAAGAAAGATTGAAGGATATCTATCATCCATCTTTTTAAAATGCATCAAATCAGTACACTCATCACCATTTAAATCATATTATTTGGGGGGGAAAGCATTTAAAATTAGGCGAAAAGCCACTGGGCCTGAGCATGCTATTGTTGCACATAAAATATCAATATTCATAACTGTGCAAAGAATTCAAAAACCTTTAGAAACTCATGATAGTTCAGCATCACACACCAAGAGATGGGTTAAATAAAATAAAAAATAAAAATACCCATTTCTCTCCAAAACGGTACCAATGTTAGTGTTTTGATAAATGAGAATCACTAATATTACCATATTACCTCAACTAATGCACTGAAAAAGGCTAAGATAGTGAGCTAACACTAATTACACACTTTTATTCCATGCTATTAAATATGTTACAATTTAAACGTAAATGCATTGTTCTAGAAGGGTGGCATCATCCCTTACATTTAACACGGCTACATTTACACACATTGTAATGCTGATAATGTAAGGAAAATTGTGCATTAAATAGGCTAGGGAAGTTATATCCAGGAAACTTTTACAAAAGAAACAAACACACTTTGTCTCTGAAGTCTCAGCGAAGCTAAACAGCAGCACACACAAAAAAAAAGTTCAACATGAAAAATGTTTTTGCTCAAGTGCACTTGCCAAATGAAGACGGGTCATATAATGGATCAATCAAAAACGCTGTTTATTAACGAGCTGTGCTAATTTCTTATTAAGTAATGCAGTTCAAGTTAACGGCATGTGCACTGATTCTGAATCTGGCGGCATGGCGAGCGCGAGACGCGGCAGTGCATAGAGGTTGACGCGCGTCTCTCTATAATGTGATTGTGAAGTAAATGGGAGCGGGAATTCACCGCATTATGAACTCGTCTCGCAATTCCCCCAACCTCAGACCAAATGTTAGGCCATGTAGACAGGCCAGCCTTTATAAATATCATATTAAGCAGAAATGTGAAATTTACCTTAGCATATTAGAGGAAGACGCTGTCGCTGATATCTGGATTGAATTGGTGCGTGATAAATGCACTTCCACAGCAGTCACGACGAGTAACAACAGGAATAGGCGGTTAAAGTTTTCTATGCTTAATTTGAATTGATGACAGTCACGAGACCGATTACTCGATCCAATCACGTTGATGGATAAAAATAAAATTAAAACAAGTGTAGCGAGTGGGGTGTGTTCCATGAGAATTGCGCTTGATTGAATCAGGTGGGGGTTGTTTGGCGCTACACCTTTAAATCCAGCAAGCTGGCGGTTTTCTGATTTTGTGCTGTCACAGACTGTTGCTTCCTTGGGCTCTTGGCTGAGTGTACGAGTTGACCCTCATATGGTGTTTGTGCGATTACCCAGTGCCGTGGGTGCTGCTAGTGTCCTGTCTTTGCGAGCCCTCATCGGCTGCGATTTGTGTTGGCGTGCTTCAACGAGGACTTCCGGTGTTCTGACATTCCATCCTACCCGTCAGATTGTCCTACCAAGGCTTACTGCGCATTGATAAGGGAGTTATTTTTATTTCTGACTTATTAAACTCTAATGGTGAGATCTATAACTATCAACAATTTCTTGCTCTCTCAGGGATTGAATCTACATGCAGAGACTACCGTATGATTGTTAAAAGCATATCCATTAAATTACTTCATCTTGTGAAAGCGCATCTCAGTTACAACTCAGTGTTGCGGCAGATTCCTAAACTTGTTATTGGAGGTGTGAATATTTTGGATCTGAAGTGTAATAATTCTTATATCAGAAAGTGTCTTAATCAAGATGTAAGTTGCTACCCTAAAGCAATTGAGAAATGGAAACAATTCTTCTCTTCTGTCCCCTCTTCTGAGACAATCTGGTCTGCAAGTAATATATTTTTACTGCCAAATAAGGTCAAAGAAACTCATTTCAAAATACTACACAGATATTATCCCTGTAATGCTTTTCTTAATAAGTTTAAGAAAGACTTCTCTCCATTATGTTGTTTTTGTAATATTGGCTCTGAAACTCTATTACACTTATTTTGTAATTGTAAATATTCTGAAGACTTCTGGAAGCAAGTTTCTATGATGTTTTTTGATACATTCTACAAAATAATCAGAATAGATGAGGCAATGATTGTCTTCTTAGATTGTAATACTGGCTCAGACATAATTGATAACACTTTAAAGTTAATAATTCTTCTTGGGAAATTTCATATTCATAAAGCCAAAGTAATGTCTATAAAACCATCTTTTAATTTCTTTTGTAAAGATGTTAAAATATTCCATGACTCATTGATTTCAACTACTAGAAATAAGAAATGCATAAAAACATCTCAAATTTTGGAAAAAATAGTTAGTAGAATTTAATGTTTTACTCTGTACAATGTAAGATCTGTTATGTGTTTTCCCCATTATGTGTTTGTCTTTTGCTGTAAAATGTCATTATAAGCTTTTGTTAAAGTTGAATAAAAAAAAAAAAAAAAGGCTTACTGCGCATGCGCACATCAATAATACGTCATTTTTTTGTCACGCTGAAACAACACGCCCATATTTACTACTTGCGCGAGATCTTCTTCTTCTGAGGTAAGTTTTTCACTATTTTTGTCAATTATTACTATACAAAGATATAAGCTATAGCAGTAATGAGAACTGTTTACTCTCACATTCATACAAAGCAAATTCATATTAGCATTTTTTTCATGAAAACATTAACGTAAAATCATTCTACTCGTTTATTTCATACTGGTAGGACAATCTGATGAGGCATTTTGCACTGTAAAATCATACTACTCGTTTATTTCATACTGGTAGCACAATCTGATGAGGTATTTTGCAACGTAAAATCATCCTATCGTTTATTTCATAGGACAATCTGAAGAGGTAACGTTACTTTGCACTGTAAAATCACCGTAACATGGCCTAATAAGAAAATTCGGCAAAGTTACACAGAAATATTTTATGTAACTTAGTCACAGACGCGAAGCAGAAACGCTCAGTAGGATTTTACGACGAGGTAGGATGAACCGATAGATATGGCTATAATTTTGCGCTACGGTAGGAAAATCTGACAAGGTAGGACAGATCGACAGAACACCGGGTTTAGAGTGATAACTACAAGTTTGCCGAGTGCGTTTGTTGTGCTGAGAACTTTGGTTTGGGAATGTTCAAGTAAAAACCAGACGGAGTAAAGTGACTGCTACAGTATTATAAATAACCAAGCTTTTGGCTTGATGCTGTGGTCTGTTCATACAGGTTAGTGTTTTAGGCTACTTTAGCCTCTTGCCCCGCTCTGATTGTTCAGCTTAACTTTTTACATCTTAAGTAATTCCCAGCCCATTGGTGCACAGGTTACAAATTAGGCATAGTTGTGATGCCGACCTGTATAATAATTATGTAACATTGTAATTGTTCTTTGCAGGAGGAGCGACATATGCTGTCCTGGCCACTGTTTTTCCTGTGCTCTTGTTTTTAGGATTCAGCTCCGTGTGTGTGTGTGTGTGTGTGTGTGTGTGTGTGTGTGTACGTGTACGTGGGGAAGAACCGTCTATTGGGTTGCCTATGAGCCTCCCCCTGGTGTGTTGATGTATGTGTGTTATGTAATGTGTGTATTTTAGGCCATTGGGTTGGTGCAATATCCTGGGTAGGGGGGATAACAATTTTGTTGTGTGGCCACTGGTTTGTCTAGTGTGAATTATTTTCTTTTTGGTTATATTTGTGCATGTGATTTTGTGACGTGCCTTATCAATTTTGAGTTTGTTGTATTTTGTTTTTGAGTTATTTGAACACTTTGATTTTGGATTTTGTTGTCCCTGACTCTGTTGCCCAGAGGCCTAATGTCCTTTGAATACTGTTTCATGTTGTGAGTCCATTGAGCCAAAGAAAAGGGGAAATAAATAAATGTTCTATTTTTATAATACTCCAGTCTGTCTGTCTCTCTCTCTCTCTCTCTCTCTCTCTCTCTCTCTCTCTCTCTCTCTCTCTCTCTCTCTCTCTCTCTCTCTCTCTCTCTCTCTCTCTCTCTCTCTTTGTATTTCCCTTTATTGGGATAGCCTGCTGGTAAACATTTGAAATTCTTATGGTCGCTTAGCCATGATTATTTAGTTACAATAGACCCCCCTGAGGTTACACAAGTAACGAGTAACGACCACAAACAATAGCGGAGAAAAAGTACCGATACATCACTTAAAATGTACTCAAGTAAAAGTAAAATTACACAATTTTAAACTTACTCAAAAAGTACAATTTCTGAAAAAAACTACTTAATTACAGTAACGTGAGTATTTGTAATTCGTTACTTTACACACACGGTGTGTTTCCTATGCACGTAAAAACAAATTTTCGCGTATGAGTTGCACGATAAACACACTGCGTGTGAGACGCATTTAGTGTGACCGGGTTGATATACTGTATCTATGGCAACCAAACGTCACTGGTGAGACAAACGTGCAACGAACGGACGGTCAGATTACGTTTTGGCAGGGGAAAAACTGATCAGAAAATGTAACGAAAATGTAACAGAAGTTGTAGAAATGTAGTGGAGTAGAAAGTATAATAATTGCTGCAAAATGTAACGAAGTAAAAGTAAAAAGTATGCACTATTTATTCTACTTAAGTAAAGTAAAGATACGTGAAAATGTACTTAAGTAAAGTAACGAAGTATTTGTACTTCGTTACATTCCACCACTGCTTCTCAGTATCTGGGTTTTGATTAATTGAAGCTAGCATGCAGAAGTATCGGTGAAGTCTTAATAAAGACATTGAAAGGATACCCACGTAGGAGGGGACGTTCTCGCGACCTTATGCAACGTTCCCTAAAAGTTCTCTAAAGGTAACGAAAGTTCCGAACCTTTATAGAACATTGAGGACGTTCATAGAACGTCCTCTTTTGGTTATGAAAGTGCTGCAGTTCAAGGTTCCTTATATGACCTTAGGGGGACGTTCTATTTGGGGTATTTTAAGGTCACATAACAAACGTTACAAAGAGGACATTCGGGACGTTAACAGAACGTTCCCATACAGTCCCCTGTTGGTCATATAATAACGTTCCCAATGTGACTTCAGGAGGACGTTCCATACTGGTTATTCTATGGTCACACAACAACGTTACAAAGAGGACATTCGGGACGTCAACAGAACGTTCCCATACGGTTCTCTGATTGTCATATAAACGTCCCCGTTATTACTTTAACAACGTTACAAAGAGGACATGGCAGATCTGCTTATTTTTTCAAAATAAACTACCACAAAAAGGGATCAAATCTGCTATGAAGATTGAAAATTGTTGTATTGTACTGTATATTCTATAGATGACATTTAATTGAAAAATAAGCACGTTATTGTATAAATAAACTACTTTTGTTCTGTTTGATGTGTTTTGAAAAGTAACACATCCAACAGAACGAATTCTTTATTTATTTTACAATAGCAAAATGGTATAAAAAAACATAATTGTCAAGTGAATGGGTCATATAACTACACAATGAGTTTTAATTTCATTATTTAAAATTAATGATATTTCAAATTGTTAAATGTTATAATGTTTATTTAAATGCTGCGTGCCTTTTGACGTGTTCTATGGTTTCAATGGGCGTACGTGCGCGTAAACATTGAGTCGCAATTCAAAGACAGGAGCGCGCGTGAGCAGATGGAAACCATGGAAACGAGGAAACCTCATCAACTGTCAAACAGCAAAACTAGCGTCTCTCACTGTTGTTTTCTCTGCTTTCAGGTAAGTTTAGTTACCAAAATCACACAAATAATACATACAAACCTTCCTGATATATGTCTTACGTGTAATTGATACACTTCTGTTGAATATTTACTTTATAGAAATGGTTTTGTGTCTTCGAAAAAGTCCGTTAGCATCTCCGTTTTCAGAAGAGCTAACTTTAGCAGCTATAAGTTTACGTTACAATTGAGCTCTTGTTTTACATAAGTTTGGGTTTTTAACCACATTTGTGTGTTGATAACAGTTTTTTAAAAGTTTTGTTTTGCTGGTAATTTGTCAGTGGTGGTGGGAAGTAAGCTTTTATTTAACCTGAAATAATTCAATGTAACGTACTGTTAATGACGTCACTTAAGATTGATAATAAGTGATTTCAGGAGGAATAGAAAAAAACCTTCACAACAAAGGGGGAATTATTGTTTAATCATGATAATAATTTCATATGCGTTTTTTGCACAATATATTACCTTAAGATTTTTTATATATATTCTTTATCTTTTCTGCATTTTATCTCTGCTCTAGCTTGCTTCCTTGTAATAAACCCTTTGTTCTTTTGTAAATTCTATGTGCTAACATTGTTGGCTCTGTGACACATTGCATGTTATTTTCTAGAAGATCATCATGCTGGTTGGCCTGCTGCACCCCCTGTCCAAGACAATCTCATTCTCCACGGCTATGAACTCGACTAGTAAGCAAAACTTCAAACATAAGTTACTGTTCAATTGTTGTGGGTCTGCACTCTGTAGGATTTATACTTTTGAATGAAGTCACACACTTTAAAATCATTAACCCCATTTTTTTTAGGGAGATTTTACTTGAGAAGCCAGTAAGCTAAATAATAGGCGGCAAATATAATGTTATAAAAATGGTCATAGTTATAATAATTCATTTAACTATTATTATAACAGGATAATGGTCATTGGTATATATATATATATATATATATATATATATATATATATATATATATATATATATATTTTTTTTTCTCTTGGTGTGTTTTTAATTATGTTAGCCAATGAGACAGACACCATACTGTCCAACTCAAAGGTATTTTTTATGTAGTTTTTTTTTCTGATAAATACTGAAATTCTTTTTACTTTCAAAAGCTGAATTCAGGAAGTCGACAACTTTAGGCACGCAAGTTATTTTTCACAGATATCTGTCCAGTTTACTCATGGCTCATACTCTTAGCCTTTAAAATGTTTGAATGTATATCTGCAATACATTATCAGGGGGTAAAGATATCATTAGAGTTTTTAAAGTTATGGCTATGCTCTTGTTACCAGATGAGATGTCAATCATTTGACCCTGTGGTTCTTCAGGACAAGATCTTGATGCCATCCACTGAACATGACATCGTACATGACGAAGGTGAGTTTCACAATAGCTGCCACTATCACAAACCAAGAGACCGAACACAACAGGCCTTCATCCATATGAACTCACCCATGCATAGGAATAGGTTCCGAAACCCGGTATTAAACATTAAACGGGGGCCAAATTAAGGAAGACCGCAGTATCGATAAGCTCAGATGTTTTCGGTTCTGCTGACGGTACTGAAGAAACTACACACACTATTAGACATTGTCTTGCAAATTCTGTGAGGATTAGGAGGGGTGTTTTAAACAGTCTTCATACAACATGTGTTTTCCAGGCTGGTTGTTTGTCATTTTGTAAGACTAGGGAGAGGCTGTACCTCAGTAAAGACTTATTTTACATTCGATAATTCAATTTCCGTACCTGATAAGTTAGATTTTCCTAAAAAAAAACATCATGCACTGCTTATTTCAATTGTATTTTTCTTCTTTTGAATTTATCTATGCTTGTAATTTGTTTATAATTTTCAATGCAGATTCACTCTAAATAAATAATCTCTTGAAATTTGTTTTTATATCGCAATATATATAGCAGCAGATAAACAAAATAGATAAACAAAATATTTTATTTAAGGTTTTCAATATTGTCCTGCCGTAATATTTAGCATTTAACCTAACTCTAATTTTTTATTGAACGTGGAATGATAATTTGTGATACCAGATGAGATGTATGCATGATAGATTTTGAACTGTACTATTTTTTTTTATTGCAGGTTTTCTGGAATCCACAGCGGAAGGGATCAAGGCATGAGATGTTGGCTTGGACAGATGTACCTGTACACCACACCGACCTCTGCTTTTGGATGGATGGCTGATTACTATCATGTTCTGTATAAGTTTTATAATAGCAAAACTGAGCACCTTCGACAGTGGTAGATGTAAAGTAGTCAGACATCAGTACATTTAAAGTCACAGAGAGAAAGTTTTTTATATAAGTATAAAACAATTTTTTGGCACCATTATACACCAAGAAATGTGCATAATTGGCCAAATTGATAATGTTTATCAACAAAAATATGACCCTATGAGTTTGCTAATTTGTAGAATAGGACACACACACACACACACACACTCTCTCTCTCTCTCTCTCTCTCTCACACACACACACACACCACACACACACACACTGTATATATTTAATAGTTATTTAATTAAATATATTTCAGTTTTTTCTTTTTACTTCATAATTTACATAACATTAAATTAACATAAATCTTTGTCTTGTCCTAATATTATTTACTGTTGATTTATTACGCCTATGCATGATCACATTATTATTAATTCATAATCTGTTTTTTGATTACACAAAATAAATAAATAAATAACGAATCTCTGCTTTGTATTGTATCTTTGAATGTGTTAAAACGTTAAATGCATGCTTATTCCTGATTAAGGTTCTTCAAGAACAAATTTGAAAAAGTTTCTGCATTCTAGTTTGTTTACCTACAGGTCTTTGACAACACTGGAGACGGGCTTAGAACGTTCTGGGAACGTCACATATCCAAATAAAACATTGGTCCCCTAAACGTTCTGAGAACGTCCCGAATGTTCTGTGAAGGTCGCAAAATAACGTCCTCTGACCCTTTAAAGAACTCCACATCATGACCGTCTCCGAACGTTCCCGCAACGTTACTAGGCAACGTGTTTGACACCAGTGGGGACGTTCTGAGAACGTCCCGAATGTTCCGTGAAGGTCGCAAAATAACGTCCTCCGAACCTTTAAAGAACTCCACATCATGACCGTCTCCGAACGTTCCCGGAACGTTACTGGGCAACGTGTTTGACACCAGTGGGGACGTTCTGAGAACGTTCTGGGAACATCACATTTCCAAATAAAACATGGTCCCCTAAACGTTCTGAGAACGTCCCGAATGTTCCGTGAAGGTCGCAAAATAACGTCCTCCGAACCTTTAAAGAACTCCACATCATGACCGTCTCCGAACGTTCCCGGAACGTTACTAGGCGACGTCCTTGACACCAGTGGGGACGTTCTGAGAACGTCCTGGGAACGTGACATTCTTAGCTGGGTAGTTCCTCTTAAAACCAGCAAGTCACCTTCAACCAGTGAGCCACCTTGCACCAGCGAGCCACCCTCCACCAGCAAGCCACCTTGAACTAGAGAGTCACCTTCAACCAGTGAGCCACCCTCCACCAGCGAGCCACCTTGAACTAGAGAGTCACCTTCAACCAGCAAGCCACCTTGAACCAGCGAGCCACTTTCAACCAGTGAGCCACCTTGCGCCAGCGAGCCACCCTCCACTGGTAGCGCCACGTCCAAGTCCTGAAGACTATAGCGAATACCATCAGCTATGGAATTGGCCACTGCAAGCGCCTCCGCCCAGTTAAGAACACCATTGCTTTCATCACTGAGTCAGCAGAAGTTGCCTCAAGGTGGCTGTGGATAAGGAGAGGAACATTTTGCAACATTTTGTAATTGTAATTAAATTATTGTTTATTAAACTGTTCCTAATATCACATTTTAATCATGCTGACGTTTGGAGGAGAAAAACTGAAATGGCACTGTTGTTCAAATTGTTAAAATGTTAAATTTGCCAGAAAAGTCAGACAAGAAAAAAAGTGACAATTCTGGGATGTAAATTGGTGTTCATCATGATACAGTAAATGTTTAAATATACTTAAATCAGAATGCACATAGTCTATATGTTTGCTATTGAGATGTTTATTATTTATATATCTTTGGAACTTTACAAATAAGAATAAATAATAAAGAAATGCATAGTAATGAACAAATGTGGCATTTTAAAATATCATTACAGATGCTTTTGAAGGTAAAAGGATCTGCATGTGGATAAAAAAAAACCACACACACACACACACACACAAAAAAAACATTCAGATGTACTTTTTGGTTGTTTTTTGTTGGTAACATATAATATGAAGAATAAAAGCCAAGGTAAAAATAACAACATAACATGACAGAGCCATAAACCTAAATTCATACTTAACAATGAATAAAATAGCCTATATTTGATTATGGTTGAGTTACAGAGAACAATGTTGTAAATAATCCAAACACCCAAATTTGATAGGAGCTTAATTTTAAAAAGTACAATTTATGACAGAACCACATACCTAGATTAATTCATAAGTTATTTTTAGATTTAATATAGTTGATTATACTTTTCATAACAGAGAACAATATTGGACATTTTTACAAAACACCCAAATTATATCTAAGTTTGATTATTATCACAGATTATCATAATTTATGAGATGAAGAATAAAAGCTATTTAAATAATTCATAACAGAAACAAAAATTATGTGTTCCTCAGTTATCCGCTGTATTTACTGTAAAATGAAGCCACGAGATAGTGTTAATAGTAGACATATTCATTAATAGTAGGTAATATTTTCATTTTGTTTCTAGAACAATTGTCTTGTACAATGATAGATTATAAGATAATAAACAGGTATGATTTTTTAATAGTTTCTTCTCAACTCAAAAAGTCTCTCAAAAAGATGTCTAGCTTGTTTAAAACCTGTTGTGGGCTCAAAGCCGCTTGCTATAGGAACTGTTTTTCTTCGCATTTAATGAGCTAGTGAAATATTTCCACTCAACTGTTATTTACTGTGGCAAGTAGCTGAGTAATAATACAAATAATAGGTGCTGCAAAATAATATAAACTGCTGGTACATGCAAACAATTTTTAAAAAAGTTCTCGGCCTATTTCAACAAACCGTCAATGATTCTTATTTCTAACTTCTAGTATATGCCTAATATCATTTCTTTTTTATTTTTCTGTGACCTTGAATAGGCCTGTTTAATTTAAAAAAAAAAAATGAAATAAAAATAAACATCAATAAATGCAGAATAGGCCTATAGGTAAAACATTTTTCCCATGCAGTTGTTAAAGGTTATTGGAGTATGTTTTACCAATAAATATTTTTGTATTTATACTTCAAAACTTTGATTAATTCAGTGTGTTACTTGCCATTTCTAATGAATTCTGAAATGTAGGCCTACTAGAAATATGTAAGCCATTCATACATTTTTAACTTTCATGTTACATATTATTACTTTGATTTGTTTTACTCATAAAATAGTATAAACTGTTAGTAAAATAGCTCTTAAATAGCTGTTTTTAACAAACCATCACTGATTCAAAGTTGATAATAAAAAAAAAACTAAACTTCTATGCTTAAAGGCACATAGTCACTTATTCAAAACAAAGGCATAGTTGTTTAAAATGATGGTTTCTAAAGAAAAAGTAAAACTGGAAATCGAGGGTAATGTGCAATGACACCGCCTGTTACCCCAAAAATATTAAGTATTGTGCCTTTAATATCTTTGCACAGACTTTTTCGGTCATTTCTAAAACTTGCAGTTTGTGGAAAAATTAAAAATATTAATAAATGCATTAAAAAATATGCTTTTGAAGTTTACCATTTAGATTATTAGAGTATGTATGATTTCACGAAAATGCTATTTCAGTTTTTCCACTTCACAATTTCACGTTCAAATCAGTGCACTACTTGCTGTTTCTTGGTACTTGTTTGTGAAATTTACAAAGGTTTAATTGTTTCTATACCAAATGTTTTCAGTGTAGTGCCATATATTATATTTAGGGCTGTCAAACGATTAATCTCGATTAATCGCATCGAAAATAAAAGTTTGTGTTTACATAATATATGTGAATGCACTGCACTGTGTATAATTATTTTATATATATAAATACACACACATGCTTGTATATATTTAAGAAATATTTTCATGTATATAGATTTATATATAATTTATATTATATATAAATATTTTATATGTACACTCTAAAAAATGCTGGGTTGTTTTAACCCAATTTTGGGTCAAATATGGACAAACCCGAAATGTTGGGTTAAAAATGTAATGTAAAAATTTAACCCAAAGGCTGGGTTAGTCCATATTTGACCCAAAGTTGGGTTAAAACAACCCAGCATTTTTTAGAGTGTAAGTACTATTTTTTTCTTAAATATACATGCATGTGTGTATATTTATATATACACAAAATAATTATACACAGTGCACCCACATATATTATGTAAACACAAACTTTTATTTTGGATGCGATTAATCGCGATTAATCGTTTGACAGCCCTAATTATATTATATTTTATTTATAAATATAACATTTTAATGTTACATATTTGTAATTATTTGGATTGTTTTAGGGTCTCTGCTATGTCCCCCTCCCTAGAACTCCATCTGAATCTCGTGGTCCCCCTGAAATTGTGGCCCCCCTCTGGAGCTCTGGGCCCCCCTTTGATTATAACCCCCCCTTGACCTATATGATCCCCCAAAACTTTGGCCATCTCCCTGGATCTCGGGGTCCCCCTGGAATTGTGGCCCCCCTCTGGAGCTCTGGGCCCCCCTGTGATTATAACTCCCCCTTGACCTATATGATCCCCCAAAACAGTACTGGTCTTCCTGGATCTTGGGCCCCCCCTGGAATTGTGCCCCCCCTCTGGAGCTCTGGGCCCCCCTGTGACTATAGATCCCCCTGGACTTATATGATCCACCAAAACTTTGGACGTCCTCCTGGAACGCGGGGCCCCCCTGTAACTGTGGCCCCCCTCTGGATCTCTGGCCCCTCCTGTAATTATGGCCCCTCCTGCTGCTGTGGTCCCCTCTAGAGCTGCCCCCCTCCCTGACACTGTGGTCGCCGCTGGAACCCTCAATCTTCTGTAACACAGTGTGCTTCAGGTCACTCAGGTATTTTCGGCCATCGATCAGCAATTTTGAAATATTCCCTGGATCCGGTGGGCTCTTGGCTCTGTAAAAACCAACAAGAAAACAACAACATTGAGGACTCAGAAATGCTGATGGTCCAGAACCCCAGAAATTAGAAGAGAAACACAGACCTTTGCAATGTGGCCTTGAAGTTCTGTAAATACAGGGGGGAAAAATCATTCAGCAAAATTTTAGTCTCTTAAAATGACATCCATATTTCAGAAGAATTCATATTGAAAATCGGAATAATTAATTCACACCTTCAGGAACAAATCATCTTTAGCGTTCATCTGTTCCTCTATGTCTCTAATTTTCCATGTGAGAGAGACAATCTGTTTCCTCGTCTTCTCAGTCTTCTCCATTATCATCTGACACTTCTGCTTCTCTTCTTCTCTCAGCGCTGTTTTTCTGGCCTCTTCTTCATTGCGTAGAATCTCGTGAAGTTCCTCGGACTCCTTAGTGATCTTCTCCTCTGTATCTTGAGTTTCATTCTGAAAATGAACAAAGATATAAGGGCCAAACTAGATCTATATCAACAGAATCACCTGACTCTCTGTTTATTTCAAACCTTAATAAGATCAGCAGTTTGGTCCAAAGTCAGTTTAAAGTTCTCAAATGCTCCCAGTTTCTCCTTTAAGTGTTGCAATGAATCTCTGAGTTTCTCCTGGAAGAGAACAACAAAAATAGTGTCTCACTTTTCTGTATTAATGATTGATTTTATTTATCCTTTTGCATTTGACATATTAAAAATAGCATTGTCCATTGAGGGAATATGTTTGGAGGGAGGGGGTTGAGACGGAATCTACATCTCAATTCTCCAGCTGCAGTCATCTCTGAGGGAACACAGTTAGCGCTCTTTGATAACGTGATGATTACGTCCCTTCAGATCACCTGTAACTTACATCATCGTATAAAGCCCGCCCTGGCAATTTGATTGGCCCGATGATTTCTGAACCGATCATAATTACTCCTCAATGGATCGAGTCCAGACTTCCCGTCCAAAAAATGTTGTGGGCGAAGTTCGGGCTGGCATCCAGGCTAGGGAGGGGTCAAAATGAACTGAAACCTGTAACACCTGTTTAATGTTTAATTGACTAATACAAATTAAATGCCACGTTCACAGTTGCAGCAATGAGAGTTGAGGCAGGATCTAAACACAGCAGTCACTTTTATTTCCAACTTAAAGTCCCCCTGCAGCCAATCATTTAATCCTTAAAACGCATCTTTAATCACCAAAATGACACATTTAAATGTTTTTTTTTTTTTCATGAAAAAAAAAAACTAAACATCAACCAGAATGAACCAAGAACGTCTCAAACTGAGGGCAATAAATATCCAGAGTAACTATTAAAGGAGTGGATGCATCAAATGAAAACGAAACCATGAGAACAGAAAGAAAACGCTATGAGTTACAAACTATTATTCCAGTAAACCGAAACTGAACGTTACATTCAACCTCTCCCTGTTAATAATGCAATGTGATCATACCAGAAATACCATAAAAAAACAATTCACAAAAACTGTTTCACAATTCAGTAAAATAATGTTTTAATCATACACATATCGGTAGATCTGATTTAGGCTTCAAAAAAGCAGAAACATTTTTAAAGACAAAGAAATAAGTAAATGTGTTTATGTGCTTCCAAATCAAGAGCTCTTATGTTTCATGACTCACATAAACAAGTCATATTTGTCACATTATTGATGTTTTTTTTTTAATTTAATAAAATGTTTTGAGCATCATTTATCTGACCTTATTGATGTTCACTGCTTCCTCTATAGGACAGAATCTGTGGTCGGTGTGTGTTTTGGAGTCTCGACACACCACACACACGGGCTGTTGATCATCCAGACAGAAGAGTTTGAGCTTCTCTCTGTGAACACTGCAGACTGTTTCCCCCTCAGATGAAGATCTCTGTTTTCTCTCCTGTTGAAAACTCTCACACAGGTTCCTCAAAGCCAAATTTACTGGAGGATCATCCATTTGGGATATTTCTCTACAAATGGGACATTCATTAAATCCTCTACTTTCCCAGAACGTCTGAATGCACTTGGAACAGATGCTGTGACTACAGGGCAGAACAACAGGGTTCACGAAAAAGTCCAAGCACACGGGACAAGTGAAGTCCTCCTCAGAAAAACCGTCATATGACATTTTGCAGGTCAGAAATCAATCTTCAAAGTTTGACTTTAAGGTTTTAAGCTTCACATTCACAGCAGGGAAAATGAGCATACAAAACTGAGCTTCAGGTAATATAAAGTAGGTGTAGGTGTAGGTGTGTTTCTTCTATATTAAAGTGGGAGGAGCTCAATTCTACACAAACAAATGTGATTCATTCGGTTCTATACAAACAGATTTCAAAGTGCAAGTTATTTTGAAAACGACACTGTTATCATCTCGGTGAAAATGACAAAACCACATATTTGCAAAAACTGTGATGCGCATGTGTTTCGTGTTCAGTCTATGGGCCCTATCAAACACCCAGCAATGCAGTGCCAAGTACGATGCAAGTTTTTATTTTCACATCCTGCGCCACATTATTTAGATAGAAAATGCATTTGTGCCTATTTATGCACCCGTAAGTGTGCTGGTGTGTTAAGGTAAGACTGCCGACCTGACTGCTGTCCAGAAGGCCATCATTGACACCCTCAAGCAAGAGGGTAAGACACAGAAAGAAATTTCTGAACAAATAGGCTGTTCCCAGAGTGCTGTATCAAGGCACCTCAGTGGGAAGGAAAAAGTGTGGCAAAAAACGCTGCACAACGAGAAGAGGTGACCGGACCCTGAGGAAGATTGTGGACTGAGTGTCTGGAGTAGAAACATCCAGAGCCATCGTGCACAGGTGTGTGCAGGAAACAGGTGCCGCATTCCCCAGGGTCAAGCCCCTTTTGAACCAGAAACAGCGGCAGAAGCGCCTGACCTGGGCTACAGAGAAGCAGCACTGGACTGTTGCTCAGTGGTTGCATGTCATTCGGAAATCAAGGTGCCAGAGTCTGGAGGAAGAATGGGGAGAAGGAAATGCCAAAATGCCTTCATGTTCGGCTCACCTACATTCCTTGACAGTTTTTCAGCATTCCTCCACCACCCCGAAACCTTTAAGGCCAATCCCAATTCTACCTAGCCTGGTAAAACCAGACTCTGCTACTTCACTTTGCTTCGTAGACAGAGTCTGAAATGGCACAATAGTGTTTCCTTGTGTTTTCTCTCTCGCAAGGGGGCGCTTCTCTGAAGTTTAAAATCATTGGTTACCCGTAAGCCAATCAGATAAGTTTATTTATGACGTATGTTATGCGCCGACACGGCCGCATCGAGACATTATGCATCGAACTCAAATCTATGATCGAACTTCCACTGTAAACAACAGGGAGCGGCGCTTTTGTAATGGCAATGTATGCCAACCGGGAAAGAACAATTCACAAACTAGGTTATTTATATGAATTACTGAGTTGCGGCCGCCCCGCTACGTCCGCATGCCCCGCTCTCACGAGCCATGACTGATTTAGCTTTCGCCGCCTCGCAGCGCCGCGAGGCCGAGCCCCTGCTCTCTCGAGTCATGAATAGGAAGTTCATTTTACTGATTTTCTGAGTCATTCGAGTCATTTTGTTTATTTAAGTGGCTTAATGTTATAATTTTAACAGCCAAATTCCCCGATCACATCCACCTACGCAAGTTGATCATATTCTGAATTAAGAAATCATAATGCAGTAAAAAATGATTTACAGGGAACATAAATAATCACTTTACCTTCCGAGTCTTACGTTCATTTGTCACGTGACATACACAATGAACAGATTGTTCATGAATCACATATCTGGGACTAATGCAGCAGGATGTCGAAACGAAATATGGTGGATTATTATTATGATAATAATAATATGATAATAAGAGCGCGCCAGGAGCGTTCACAGCCGAGGAAACCGACGTTATTGTCATGGCCGTAAAAGACAGAGAACTGACGTTGAATGGGGGTAAGTTATTAAGTCCTTATAGTTATGCATATAGTTATGGTCTGATCCGTCATTACTACAATTAGCCTGAAAAAAATGGGTAGCCTAAACGCCTAAGCTTGAAGTGTTAATATTTGTCCTTGTTATAATGATTTGCAAAAATAAAAACGTCTGCACGCGCCGGTCCTAACTGTAAACACTGATGATGCAAGCGATACCGGAGTGAACATGGCTGTAAACGACTTTTGCTTCAGTTTGAAAAACCCCGGAATGTTCTCCATAACAGAGCGAATTGCATCCCGTGTCTTGTTTCCCATTTCTGCGGTTGTTTCGGTATTCGGTTTTCGATTTCTCTAACCTACAATGTACTCCTCGGCGCTTAGCGGCTACGTCATGGCTCTCAGCCCGCCCTCTGTTCGTTAATTGGCCGGCTGTTTTCAGGCCGGTGGAAAACTGAAAGATAGGCCGCTATCTCAGACTGACTACAGGAGCGAAATGAAATTAGCGGAAGTAGGAAGTCTGACGTAGTCAGGCTAAATTCTACCCCTTACCCCTTCACTTTCCCCTAGCCATACCCCTTCGCCTTCCCCTTGACCCTTGAAACAGAGTGGCAATGCGTAGGCGTGAAAATATTCCCCTAAGAAATGGGACACCACTACGCCTCCGTTAAACGTCATTATAAGTCGTCTCTAGCGCCTACGTCACAGGAGATGCGCCGATGTTTATCACAACTTCCTCGACAGCTGCAGTTATCTCAGTTGCGTGGGTTACAGCTATTTTCTTGCATTTATCTTGTGAAGTTCGCAGAAAACAACGGAGACGACGAAAATATGTTGCGGGACTATCGTTAGCAAACTACAGTAATTTTAGCGATTTTTTTTACAAACGTTTCTGCGAAGAAACTGACCGTAAATATGAACACAATATTGAATGTAACATAAATCAAATCATTATTTGTCGTTACAATACTTATTAAAGCCACAAATACTTACATTTATGGGTCTCCTTTTTCGCTTGGGCAGCCATTTTGCGTCTGTAGCCTGGGTAGCAGCGACACTTCTCATACCCCTTCGTTTGAAGTGTGCTCCCGAAAAATCTTCGTTTGAAGGGCTATCTGGCCCTTCCCCCTAGCCCTCCCCCTCCAACCAAAAGAGAATTGGGACAGTCCTACCCCTTCACGTGCATGGACGCGCAAAACGGAGGGGAAGGGGAAAGTGAAGGGGTAAGAGGTAGAACTGGGATTGGCCCTTACTCTTGGCTTGTTCCTTCCACAGCCAAGTGGAGTACGGGGGGAGTACTCTGGGTTTGGGCCAAATCTAGAGCCTGTAGCCCTCTCCTTGGACAGTCACAGCACGCCAAATATGCATACCATCTATTCTATCTGACTTATTTGTAAGTGTGAACTTATGAAAAATAATGTCATCATATTTATTATTTATGTACTATCGGAACCAAGTTAAATGCAGTCGCTTATCTTTCATTCTCAGCCCACGGATCAAAGTTAAACTTAAGATGAACGAGTTAATAAAAACATATGCAAATAAATGAGAGAATATAACCGCACTGATAGGCATTTAAGCATTCATTTAAACCAGTCTTGTTTCACTCTAAAAGCGAAAAAAACATTTCTTGATTTCCTTGAAAATCATACTGATCTAACAAAGGCAAATTCCAATAAAATATCTGCTCAGTCCTCTTAGATCTGAGGCAACATTTTTATGTGCTTCCAAATCAAGAGCTCTTTGGTTTCAGGACTCAAAACATCAAAACATACAGTTTCAAAGTCATATTTGTCACATCATTGATGTTTTTTTTATTTAATAAAATGTTTTGAACATCATTTATCTGACCTTATTGATGTTCACTGCTTCCTCTATAGGACAGAATCTGTGGTCGGTGTGTGTTTTGGAGTCTCGACACACCACACACACGGGCTGTTGATCATCCAGACAGAAGAGTTTGAGCTTCTCTCTGTGAACACTGCAGACTGTTTCCCCCTCAGATGAAGATCTCTGTTTTCTCTCCTGTTGAAAACTCTCACACAGGTTCCTCAAAGCCAAATTTGCTGGAGGATCATCCATTTGGGATATTTCTCTACAAATGGGACATTCGGGCAGAAGAACAGGATTTACGAAAAAGTCCAAGCACACGGGACAAGTGAAATGTCGGTGGAAATAGCATTTATGTTTTTGTAACTGGACCCAGTAATTGGACAAATCTGCAAATCTAAGTCTAGGTATTATAATTCAATATCTCTATGGCTTGCTAAGTAGTGAAGTGAGATGGAGGACAACTGTAGCTGCTCACTAAACACTAATAAGTTGAGTCTCATTTTGTTCATTTACATATTTTATTGTATATGTGTAACAAATTAGCTCTATGAAATATTAATAATCAATAATAACTGGTTATATCTGATTATGAATATTTGAGTCAGTTAATGAAATTAACTTAATGTAGTAAAAGTAACAATCAACCCACCTTTTCGTCATGAACACTCAGCATTAAATGTGCCCTAGAATGTGAAATTGAATTTATTTTGGCATAGTTAAATTACAAGTTCAGTACATGGACATGACATACAGTGAGTCTCAAACACTGTTTTCTCCTTCTTCCTTAAATCTCCTTTTTGAAAAACACCCCTGAAAAACAGGCGAATCTCCATATAATACCATAATACGACTTACGCAACAGTCGGAATCATTAATATGTACGACTTCATTTGCATATGCCAGCCCATGTTCAATGACAGACGAGACGGAGTTGCGCAGCCAACACTATCTCACGACCAATTCGTACGAATTCGACGCATGATTAAAAAGTGTCTAATTCGTACAACATCACTCGTACTAATTCGTACGATTTGTCTAAACCCACGTGATGGTTAGGTTTAGGGGCGGGGTAAGGGGTAGGTCATTCGTACGAATTCATACGAATTGGCCAATTCGTAAAATATGTACGATTTAGCAAAATCGTATTAATTCGTACGAGTGAGGTCGTATGAATTGTTACGAATTAGCCACTTTTTAATCATTCGTCGAATTAGTACGACTTGGTCGTGAGATCGGGTTGGCGCAGCCGAAGCATGGCAGTTGATCAGTGTTCGGATACACATGAACACAAAAGTATATTTTAGTTCCTTCGTCCGAGGATTTTTAAAAATCTTTTCTGTAAGCCATAATCATCAAAATTACAACTTTTGTATGATATTAAAAAAAAATAGTTTCACCTGTATAGTGGTACACCTCTTGGGGTTCATCAGTAGGTGGAGAGTAAGTCAGTCTTTTTTAGTAAGTCAGAATTACAAAATGTAAACTCATTGTGAGATAAAAAGTTCAATTCCCTCTTTAGTCAATCATTTTATCCCTTAAAAGTCATAAATTACATAGTTAAAACGTTTTTATAATATCTTGAATGTAAGTCGACACCTTTGCCTCATTTAAAATGTGCGGTTCTATGAATATGTAAATGAGCCCCGCCTCCACTCACTCAGCTCAGAGATCCACTGGTTGACGATCACACTACATAGACATAAACAACTTTAAAAGCTCGATTTTCACCACAGGGTTTAATTAATTACCACTTACCTTTTTTATTATTATTCGCTGACAGAAACAAGCTTCCATTATAGTTTGAATACTATAGATTATATGATTAATAACATACTCAAAATAAGCATTACAATAGCTTTTGCACATTAACATGCATTACAGCTTCAATAGTATCATTATATTATTAATAACAGTTAACTACTAAAAGTTAGGCAAGTCAAATATTGAAATGAATTTAAGCATGCAAAAAATGCATGGTATAAAGCATCCCACATACTGTATATATATGCAATGTATTGTAATTTTTAAAAATAAATCTTCAAATCATGGCTGTTTTTAAAGATGGATTTTTATTCATGGTTGCAAAACAAACAGTATCATGAACAAAAGTCTTGTGGTTTTAAAATATTACATACAATTGCTTTTGGGAAAAGCAGCATTTAAAGATTCAACAGAAACTGGAAATGAGGAGTTCAAATAAAACCATCAAACTTAGTAATGTTATCAATAAAACGGCTGAGAAGAACATCAACAGAGAAGCTCAAACAACACAAGCTGAAGCCCATAATGCCATGCGGTACTTCAGAGACTCATGTGTTGTGTGTGTTAGTCGTAGATACTCAGAGTTTAGTGTGTAAAACTTCACGGCTTTTCACGTCGGTCCAGAATCCAGATCTGCACAAGCCCAGACGCTAGTATGCTCCATCAAAATTAAACATTGTTAGTACTTAACTCCTTTCTACCTTATTATTGTACATTTGTTATAGAGAATTGTTCACAGGTTATTCATTCAAGAACAGATGAATCTCAGGAAAACTGCAAAGAAACATACAAGTCATAATTCAACTCAAAACCAACAGAACGAATATGAAAATGCCAACTTTCAAACTTTTTTTTTTGCACGTTTTTCCTTCAAAAATGTCATTACTGAAATACAAATATACTATTTTTTTCCTGTAAGTATGCATAAAGTATGTTGCACTACTGGTTATGTTTACAGGATCAAATCTTAAGGGTTTTAAAAATAGATCATTTTGTATAGCCTACGCAAAATAATGCTTTTCTTTTTTTTAAATTTGGGTTGAAATACGAATCAGACGTTTCTTTGTGAGATTCAGTATTAAGACGTCCATCTCGAAGCGCGTTTCTTTACCAGTGGTTATTCAGGTTGGTTGAGTGAAAAATTTCAGTGTTACTAAAGACACACACTGCAGGAATGTGTGTAAGTGAAAACACACCAGACATCTGTAAACCAATCCAGAACACACACATGTGCATCATCAAAATCATCAGTGGCTGTTTGAAACTTTAATAATGATTAGTTAGTGATGTTCTTCACAGGACAAGTGATAGAGTCAAAGTTACTTGACGTGTTTTGAATGAAACTTACGGAGCCCTGAACATGACATGCGGACAAACTAATATATACATACATACATATATTATATGTATGTATATATATATGTATGTATATATATAGGAGCTATATATATATATAGGAGCTAATTATTATATTGTGAGCATGATTTACTTAAAATAAGTGGTCGTATTAGTACGTCATTCTTGGCGTCGATATATATATTTTTGTCCCCACGTCATATGCGGCTTCGTATAAACTAAAACTAGAGCTAAAAATAACTACAAAATATATATATTTATAAAAGCAAAAAGCAAACGTGTGTCATTCATATTAATGCAGGATGAACGTCACAGTTTTAAAACAAACCTTCACAGGAGGACGAAAGTGTTCAGTTACAGACGCCGACATGTAAAGCGACAGAAACGCATCTTTGTGGGGCGGATCTCACAAAACTTTTACATTACATCCAAATATTACAAAAAAATAACAATTTTCATTGCAATTACACACGTTTTGACTCCAATTCTCCTTGATTTTAGGCCAATTTTTTTTCACTGTCATTATGAATTAAATGAGAATTAGATTATTTGTTATGAAAATGTCACAATCCCAACACAAATATTTTTATTGATTTATTTGATTTTGGTTGAGAAATGCGAGACAGAAACACGTTCGACCAGGTTTTGTGAGATTCGCTCAATGCCTCGCACTGCATGTCCATTGCAAAAATTCATTCAATGAGTCGATTTCCATCCAAAAACAAATGTAAGCAAATGTTTTACACTCTTGTAAACCTGGTCAGGTGAAATAGCTTCATTAAATAAGGCCTTTTCACTCCAGGTCATTCGTTTTTTCAGGCGTTTATCGACATGATTTGAAAAACTATAAACATGCAGAGGAGTAATGGTCTAATTTAATGTAACACCAGGAGGAACGTCAACTTGAATTCATTTTTCTCTATTACATTTGATACATTCCAATACATTATATAGTGGTTATTCATATTAATTTTTCTTCTATATAAAAACAGAGATGACTGATGATCATGCTTATTAACAAGCCGCACTTTTGCCATGAAGTGCACTTGAGCGCTCAGCCAGAACAGCTAAAAGAATAAAAATGTAATAAAAGGACCGACGCACTAAATGTGAACAGACACAGTACAAAAACAAATCGATTTAAAGAAAGGTATTGCCAAGCTTCCTCACTGGGTTTCAGACTTCTTTTTGTTTTTCTTCAGGAAAGACGGGGTGCGAAACTTTTTCTTCTTCTTTGAAGGGGATTTGTTTGGTGATTCATCGCTGCCATGGTCACCCGCCGCATCATCGCCTGCGACAGGCTCCTCCCCCTCCTGTTGAGGGGCGGAGTCAGTCTGTTCAGGGACGGGGTCTTCTGCGGGGAGGGTGGCGGCTTCGAAGGGATCATCGGGGGTCAGATCGGGGAGGGTCTGTCTTAAAGTGGCGGCGTCACTGTCGTCTTTAGACGTCTGTTCCTGATGTGCCTCTGTGGAGGACGAGGGAAAAGGTCACAGTGAGTTTGTCGATCAGCTCACGGCATGGAAACCGTCCAGGGGGAAATTCAGCGCTCAACACTCTGGCTCTTTATTTATGAAGCGTGGAAATAGCATTTCTGAGAAACTGACCATAAAAGTTGAATCGCTGCAAAACCACACTCATCTCCAGACACACACACTGATCTTTAGCTTTTATCAGCAAACTGCTACATCAAACACTTCCTGATGCAATTACCTAATAACAAAAACTAGATGTACTGGGCAAACAGAACAACCAATTTCAGAGTGAACCCTAGTTTGCAAAATGGGGATCTCCGTTTTAAAATATGAAAATATTTAGTAAAATAGTAAAAGCAATAGTAAAAATGTATGCTATAAAACAAGTGTACATGATATATTTACATATATACTGAAAATATGATTAAAATTGTAATACTCTCATTTATTGAGAATATATATATAAAAGAGCTGTTACATCGACAAATCACGATTAATCGGATCCAATGTATGCATGTATACAATTGTGTGTGTATATATATATTAAACTTATGTTACATATGATTAATTGATTTTACAGCACTTTTATATATATATTCTCAATAAATGTATTCCAATTTTAATCATTTTCAATATATCTATACAGTATGCAATGCATGCATTAATTTTTGTTTCATGCACCATTCGTTTTATACAATAAATATGTTCATGTAAATTATGTAGATAAACTAAATTTAATATGTAATATTGATATCGGTTTTGTTTTAATTCACTACTTTGATTTTACCGATTCAACCGTTTTAATTAAATTATTGTTAAATCAAATCATTTTTCAAATTATTCATGCATTAAGCATTAACATCCCTATCTGCAAACTATTGAAGACCATAAAAAGCAGATCTAATCTCAATACAGTAAAACCTGCATATCTCGTCCTACAATTTGCATATCTGTCACTCAATAAATCCTAATATCTATTATTCATTTATTTTAGTCTCCATCAAAAACATCAGACTAGCAGCGATCCAGTTCATGACTCACTCTGATCCTCAAATACACTGACATAACACATACATTTATAAACGCCACATTCATATTTCCAGAGATATTTCAGCTCTCAAACAAACACCAGTAATAAAGACACACATGTAACGCTCATTATCATCTGATTTCTATAGCCATCTGCACGCTTTAAACCACAGAGCAGCGTTTCACTGACAGTCATAAACTGAGAAGTAGAAGAGATATTGAAGACATTATTCACACCAGAAGCGTAATATTCATACATTACCTGTTCTGCTAAAGCAATACTGGATTGGCATATTAAAGAACTTTGCTATTGTTATAAAGGTTAAAAGAGGAAAATTTGTAGGAACGGAGTGTAGAAGTTTCTAGGGAAAGATTTGTTGCTATAGCATGATCTCGCCGCACTCCAGACAGTTCGAACATCATTTCCTGAAATCACATCATCCGTCAGGGGTTTTTACCTTTAAAATTACATCTACAATAATAATAACAATAATAAGATAAAGGAAAGCGAGGAAAAGTCAAACTAATAAATCACGTCATAGTCTAAGAGGTTCACTTGTTTTTATTTAAAGTGCCCCTATTATGCTTTATCGAATATTGTATAATAAAGCTGTTAATGATTGAAAAAGGTTTGCAAAGTTTTAAAGATCAGGTGCAGATAAAGTTATCGTCTCCTAAAAGAACAAAATCGATTCTAAGGTGTTGAAATGAGTAGTCAATAATTCCGAAGTCACTTCCCGTTACAAATTTGCATAATGCAAGCCTATGGTTTTGATTGGCTGAACAACGTCTCTTAGCTCCGCCCTCAAACACTAGTGTATCTGAGACTGGGAGAGTTTAGTTCGTGTTGTTCGTGTCGAGAAGACGCTGTTTTCTGCTGACAAAGCAAATCCACCCAATCCAATGAGCATTGGGTTTCTGACCAATCAGAGCAGAGCAGCTCTCAGAAAGGCGGGGTTTTAGAGAGACTTAGTCTACGGACGAATCAGTTTTTTAGACTCATTACGAAATGAGGGGATATGCAATATATATATATTATGAGAAAACGTTTTCAAAATATATTTTTTACCTTAGATGGATGTATTGTAGGAGACCTTTAAACCAGAATTAGGAATAGCATAGGGGCACTTCAAAATCTTTCATTAAAATTATTAAATGCAGGAAATGTATATGTCAAAGTCTAACAGGTTTCAACCCACTCAAATCCTGATGGATAAAATGGGTCACATTAAAGATAAATGCGTTACAAATGCAGATTCGTTTTATTTCAAATGCCATTTGCAACCCATTTGACTTCCGTAATCTGGCGTACGACTGACTGGAGCGGCGCAAATCATCCCTCACAACAAACCAGAGGCAGAGGACAGGGAGATGAGTTAGACAGCGGAGGAGTGAGATCCAGTGAAGCCGTGCAGCAAACTCAAGCGGGGGAGGTGAGGTACTTACTATGGTAACAGGTACTCTTTTGCATTTCCATCTCCTGATTGTGACGCAGCCACGAAGAAGAAAAAGCACAAGTAGAGAGAGAATGTCTATGCAGATCAAAATCACAGCCACCGGGTTAAATTAAAAAGAAATTAACAGAAACCGTAAAGAGACACACAGGCCACCAGAAGTAAAGAATGGTTGCCGAGCCATTCTTAAAGACCCCGGAGAAATGAGCATGAAGGGTGAGTGAGAACATTTAAGACGGGTGATTTACAAGACATTTCTCATGTCGGATTACACCTGAGTTTAAAGAGACGGGATCTGGGTTAACATCTCAGTGGGGCGTTCTGCTGCATTACAGCTTGTGACTGTGAGATTATACGAATCTGAGGTTCATTTTGACATCCAGGCCCTAAAATACTTTACTAGATAGACATGATTTACTAATGACTATATCATAATGAGAATGAGTTGCAATTCAGGGATAATATCATTTACTAAAATAAAAACTATTAAAAATTTCCGTTAATTGAAATAAAGCTGAAATTATAAAATCAAAATATTAGTTGAAAAATTTGAAATGTTGCTGGCAATAAACAGAACATTTTAAAACTATTACTGAAATAAAAAAAATAAATGAAACAGATTTAATTTTATTTAAATAAATTAAATTATTATAAATATTATTTTTGTTTTTTTAAAGACAAAAGCACATCATAAAATTAACAATTTTTAAATTTAACTAAATTTAACATAAAAAAGCTATATAAATATAACTTGTTACAAATAAAACTTTGTCAATAAAACATGCTTGCATAAAATGTGAAAAGTTATTTTACATTTAAAGTTATTTTTAACATCGGCCTATTGTTCATAAATTAATTATCATCTATTGGTGTCAATGTCAAAAAGGTGAACATTTTGCCGCATCCTATAAATAAACGCTATAAAGCAATGTTTATTTACGTAATCTTAATACAAGAGCTCATATTTTGATGACATGGGTGTAATCCATTGTAATAAAGACCAAGAGGGTAAAATAAAAACTAAATATAATTAAAATAATACAAGATTTAAAAAAAAGTCCAAAAGTGTGAAATAAAATAATTGGAAAAATAAAGACTTTGTTCATGATTTTATCATTAATCCTCCATTAAAACGGATTTAAATCAGATGTCAACTGTTCAAAAAACCAAACTAAAAGTGTCAGGCCAGTTTATTTTTTACTTTAAGTTGTGGGGGGTAAATGAACCAAACATTAATGATGCCCTTTGGTCTGTTATTACAAACAGCAATAAATGCCTAAAAATGTTAATTAACAAACGTACAGACAGACATTGGCCAGCTGGCACAGCTCATGCTGAGAGAGAGCCTGTGTGAGCGGACAGACGTACCTTCCTCCACACGCACAGGTGATTTCGGGGGGGTGCAGGTGCTGCTGGGAACTGGACCATCTTCAACCTCTGCTGTCTGACCTACAAACAGCACACACATTATTACAGTCGTCTTCATCAGGAAGCCAAAACCACAGATCTGACACTACAAAAATATCAAGTAAGTGACATGCTACAAAAAAAACAAATCCAACATTTTTTCCACATTGATTGATGGATAATATAAAAGTAAATATGGTAAAACGAACAAACTTGGTAGACAAGATTATAAAAACTGCCAAAATATTTCAGCAGATAATCCATGCAAGTCTGATAATGTCGGACTCAATCATCGTAAACTAAAACTTAAACCATAAGACATTTTCTCTTTTTACATATTTCGTGTTTTCATCTTGCTGTTTAATTTAAGCTGATATACTAAAATAATTCAAACTAAAATATAAATAATAATTATAGATTAAAAGGTTTTAGGTTTTTTTTTATATCTATAGTCTCTATAATTTTTATTAGGTTTTTATTATCCAAGTATATTATAGTACTAAATCTTAACTAAAATGAAAATGGATAACAAAAAATAAACACTAATTTAAAATATTAATAAAAACAGTTCACTAAAAACCAAATACAAAAAAATACTAAAAGTTTAATTAGAATTAAAATGTATAGTAAAAAACAACTAAATTTAAAATGATAATGTATTATATATACATACATATATACATATATATATATATATTCACACATACATACATATATACATATACACACACACACACACACACATATATATATATATATATATATATATACACACATATATATATTAATACACACACACACACACACACACACATATATAAATATATATATAAACCTAATTCAAAATATTAATAAACTGTATATTAATGATACAAACTATTTAGTATTTGATTCTTTCCAAATGCATATATACTATTATAACAGCAAAATCCATCTGCTTTAAAAAGCAAAAAGGAAAAACACTGGAAAAAACAAAAATAAACAAACAAACGCTGAAGAACCAAGAAACAGGACATAAGGAGGATTTTCACCATCAGCACATCCACATTTAGTCAAATCTCAGTTCAGATTCAGAGACACCACAGCCAGGTTTATTAGTACAAGAAAATCCAAATAAAACCCAATAAGCAGAGGAGCAAATCCCAGTGGAGAGGACAGCGAGGAGCCCGCAGGTGATTTCAGTCCAGGATTAAGAGTGGAAGAGGTGACGAGGGTCTTGATTCACAGATCCAGGACGGTGTTTATGGGACACAGGCTGGGGCGAGAACAAGGCATGTCGGATCACCAAGGTTTGAAACCAGGGGACAGCAAGAGACAGATAGAAAGAAAGAGCCCAGCAAAGTCAGAATACACCCCAGAAAGAGAGGTCCTCCTCAGGCAGATGCAGGGGTACCTGCAGGCGTCCCGTCTCGCTCCGGCTCACAGCCCAGAGCCTTCAGAACCGCAAAGTGAAACTCCTTTTGAGGGGATCCTGGAGGATCCGCCGGGGTGTCGTTACCCGACGGGCCCCCAGATTCAGTGCCTCGGCTGGGGATTATGGAGGGTGGCGGGGCTGCGGTGGCCCTTGGATCCTCCTGTGGGATGTCCGGGCCCGACTCCTCCACCTGTGCTAAATGCAATACAACAGTTTCTCTCCTGACCTGCGGGGGCGCTGTTGGGCTGCAGGATTCACATGCAGGGTAAAATGCGATTGCTATAATTCCTTAACTTTGCGCTGCTGAGTTGGTCAACAAAAGAGGTAGATGTTTTTTCAGACAACATTACTTATTTAAAAACATTTTTTTAAAAGCATGAGCACATCAATTCATTCTTTTAGACCACATTTACAAGTAAGAATTTACAAAGGGTTTCTCAAAACAGATATATACACACACACACACACACACACACACACACACACACACACACACTACTGTTCAATAGTTTGAGGACAGTAAGATTTATATCTTTGTGAGAAATTGATAGTTCTATTCAGCAAAGATGCATTGAATTGATGCATAAAAGTGACAGTTTATAATGTTACAATAGATTATATTTCAAATAAATGCTGTTCTTTTGATTCTTTGATGAATAAAATGCATCACTGTTTCAACAAAAATATTAAGCAGCACAGCAACATATATGTTTCTTGAGCATCAAATCATCATACAAGAATGATTTCTGAAGAATCATGTGACACTGAAGTCTGGGGTCATGATGCTGAAAATCACACTTTACAATATATTCACATATTTAAATAGTGCAAATACTCCAAAAATGCTGAAAACACTAATATTGTGATCAAATTAATGCAGCTTTGGAGAGCAGAAGAGACTCTGAACCTTACAGACCCCAAGCTTTTGAACTTAAGTGTATAAAAAACAAAAAGCTAGTGTAAGACATGAAACAGCCCATTTTGTCCAGACCAAAACCATTTTAGTTATTTTTTACTTCTTGACGTCCCAACTCATAAGCGGACACTCATCAGGAGGACTCACAGCAGCATTACAGGACATTCTTGGCATCTGCAGGAGCCAGTTTCTGCGATATGTAGCGTTCTTACCTTCTGGGACTTTCTGCTTGAACTCCACTTCCTTGCGATACTCCTCCAGATCCTGGTCTGTGAACTTGTTGAAGGGGTTTGGCCCAGTTTTGCTGATGACGACCCGTGGTTGGTACTCCTTCTCAATGATGGCTTTAGATGCGGTCACTAGTTCCCCCTGCGGGCCAAAAGAGGACAAAACAACAACACCGTTTAAGCACTCCTATCTTTCCAACAATGGAAAAACTATTTAGGTCAACCAAATATAATTTCTTATAAATGATTAAATCGAGTGAATACTAGTGGGACACTCAGCATCCAAAAGTCTTCATAAATGTCTCCAATTAGAGTTTAAAGTCCCCATGAAATCAAAATCGACCATACTTACTTTGTTTGCCTAAATTGATCGTTTTGTGGTGAACAATTCATACATGCAAGTCAATGCACACAAAAATTTTTTTGGGCTTTGTAAACTTTAATCAAATTTTGAAAATGCCCCTCCCCTCTGCATTGGAGGACCTTGCCCGATGACGTAGGCTTTACGGTTTGGGTGTCTCCCTAACGCAGTGGTTCTCAAACTTTTTCAGGAGGAGGCCCCCTTGTGTAGGGTGAATCCTTTTGTGGCCCCCCAAAAGAAAACTCATAACGAAAACATCCTCAAACGTACAATTTTACTTACAAATTTTAGATTGTACCAAAAACAAATGAATTTGTACAATGCTGGAACAACAGTTCTGTTTGTAGCTTTATGTCTTTGAATATAAAAAATTAGTTAAATTGTACATTTCATTAAATATAACAATTTTTTATAAAAAATGGTTTTGACAGTTAACAGTAATATTGTCTGAAAAGTGCAACAAAAGTATTGAATACTGAACATTTGTGATGTTCATAGTAAAAGATGAACACTGAAAAATTTATTTGCTGATTGTAAAAAAGTGCATTAAACTTCTTACATTTTAGGTAGTAAATGACAGTGGCTCAAGTTTGGTTTGCAAATTTGAACAGCAATCTGTTTTTTCAGCAAGAAACAAAAAAAATTCTACTCTACTTAAAGAAATACTTTTTCAATATAGAAGACATACAATTTTATACAAGTTTTACAATATAAAATAAATCATGCAATGCAGATTTCACATAGGACAATCCAAACTTACATACAGGTAAAATAATGTTTTTAAAAAAAAAATTCATATTCTAGAATTTCTTTGCGGCCCCCCTAGCGCCATCTAGTGGCCCACCAGGGGGCCACGGCCCCCAGTTTGAGAACCGCTGCCCTAACGTCCATAACCACACCCCTCCAACTGACAGCTGCTGTGTGTTTGCGAGCGCCGAGCGAGCATTGATTGACAGTGTGTGTAAACTTGCGTCATCCTCCATTTCAGAATGAAACGCCCATTTTTCTAGATCCAATCAGGTGCTAGTTGTAAAAAAAAGCCACGCCCACTATTTTGCCTCATTTAGTATTCCGTTTCTCTCGGAAATACGTCACAACACTGGAGAAAAGTCGTTTGCAACTTCCGGTTCACGGGGACTTTAAGTTGAACTAGATGCTGTCTTTTTTGTAATGAAAAACTATAAACGATAAAAAGATAAAGCTCAAGTATCCCACTTACATTGGTATTCACCTTTTATTATAAAAGTCTTATTATTGTTGAAACTCAAATCCCAGTTAAGACGTTAATCAAAGGATGCAACAGAAGTATTGCAACAAACAAAAACCAGGCTGTGAGGGATAAAAGTACACATTTATTTCTCCTGCAGCTAGTAAAACATTTCAAATACATCTCTTCACAAATATCAAGTTGAACACAAAAACTACATGAGAAAATATAGACTAAACAAATGGGAAAATGTGACCTGAAGGTATAATATGGGATGTACTTTTGGATCCTCACTGCCTTGTTTGTGTCAAATCAATCTGCCACAATTAGCATCAATACACATCTGACATTGGTTTGGAGTTCATCAGTGCAGACTCAAAAGGCCCTGAGTGTTACTCTTTTTCCTCAATGTAAAGCGAAAGAGTATTGAAACTGTGTGTGGTTCGATGTTATCAAACATTATAGTAATTGTCGCAGGATGTACCTTTCGAATAGACCTAGAAGGACTAAAGCTCTCTGAAGCGTCAATGCCATCAATAGAGTCCGTACAGTCAGAGAGTGGAGCGTCCTGAAACAGTAGAGCTGGTGAGCAGTGCAAAAGCCCAGTACAAATACCGACACCACACACACACACACACACACACAAATGAGGCAATCCAGAACCAACGCACACAAGCAGATCACACATTCTTGTACATCTATTTTTGTGAGGACATTCCTTGACACATTGCAATCTCTAGCTCACACACTCGCTCAAGCGCACACACGCACTCAAGAACATCCACACACGCTCAAGTAGGGCTGCACAATGTATTGTTTTAGCATTGATATGGCGATGTGCGCATCCCCAATAGATGTAGTTTAGGGTTTGAACTTCGTTGTTGATCAGGCCAGCTGCTCCCCAGTCCATAACGCTTGTGATTCGCGGATTAATTGCAAAGTTTAGCCGTCATAGAGTGACAGTTTATCATTTTCATGTGTTTTTAAGTCCTGTCGGTACAAACATCAAGTGCAAAAAGACTGGGAGTTTTGTGTGCGCACACAGACAGCAAGTGAAGTTCGTGAACACCTGACCCCTTCCCTTTTCATTTATTTATTTGTGCTTGAACAGACAATTTAAGCTAAAATTCCCATCTCAACGAGTTTCCTTGTAAAGCAGTCGGTTATGAGTTGTAAACAGAGAAAGAAAAAGTATGCATGGTATATGATGCGTGCATTCGTCTTAAAGAGACAGCAGCCCAATATACCCACAACTGTTTGTGTCGCCAAAGTTAATCAATAAACAAAAGAGAAATACTTTTATAGCTTTAACAAAGATAAACTGCATAGTCTTACAGTCCCTCCAGAAAAACGCGATTATGCGATCGCTGAATTCAATGCAAAATCAGCCAAAGTCCGCATATTTATGCGGGGGCCGCATTTTTTCGAATAAGCCGCACTTTCGCCGCAAAAAATGCCGATTTCCATGCAAAATATGCGGGGCTTGCATGATTTCATAATCCTCGCATTTTCGTTGCAAAAAAAGTCACATATATCTTCGCAGAAAGTTGAAAAATGTTGCGTTTGCTTCATACAAGAGCAGCCATTTCCTCCTGTTTCCATGGGAACGTTATGAAGTGACGCAATTACGCGACGGGATAGCTCACAGCTGAGTTAAGACTCACGGAGGCGATTGACATCTCACAAATCGAACTCGTATAACTGTCTGTCACACGTTCTACCATCACATCGTTACTTAATAAACAAAATAAGATAAAAGAATAAGCATCAAACAGAAATTACCCGCACACATGGGGTGTTTGAGGCGCACACACTGCAGACAGTTCAGCGCGCAGCTCTTAAAGGGGCCACACCTTATTTACACTCGTTACAGTCTGAAATAAAACATTGCTGATTTTGTAATTGTGAAAGAGAGTCTATTGTGCACTTATTGTTTGAATGTCCCTATTTTTCAATCTTTTGGAATGAGATGTCTCAATTTCTAGGTTTTAAAATGAATTGCAACCTTGTCTTAAATTTGTCATCTTCATACAAATGATTTTGACTTTCCTATAAGAAAAATATCGATTTTTTCTATTATTAGGAAAATTTCATATTTATCAAACTAAGTGGAGTAACTCAAAACCCAACTTTGCTCATTTCAAAAGCCTTTAAAATGTATTTTGAGTCTTTAAAATTTAAAAAAAAAAATCGAAAAGCCCAAAAGATCTGTATCTCTGCTAAAGGAATTTAATATGTCTGTGATGCCCTCTATCTTTTTTTTCCTTTTTTTTTTTTTTTTTTTCCCCCAAATTATTGTTTCATGTTTTAGGCTACTTCTCAGATGTTATACTTATCAGAAAATGTGTAAAAGAAATGTCAAGAACTTGATATCAAACTCTGTGATTTTGAAAATGTAATAAAAATAAAACAAGATGAGAAATTAAATATTCCCAGCACTTTCTATGATGTAGTATGCTTGCTACATCATAGAAAGTAATAAGAAATGACTCTTTACATTAAGGTAGTAGCCTAGTGAGAACAGGGTGTTGGGGGAATCACTTTTTTTCTCTTTTTCATCAAACCGCAGTATTTGCAAGTTCCCGCAATTTTTGCAAGTTCCCGCAATTTTTGCAAGTTCCCGCAATTTCATCGCATAAAATTGCATAAATATCCCGCATATTCCATCGCATTTTTAAAGAAAACGGGCCGCGTAATCAAGGATTTTTGCCCGCAACAATCACAAAAAAACTCCGCGTTTTTCTGGAAGGACTGGTCTTAACTGTATAAATTAAATAAGATTTATATAATTAATAGTATTATTTTACATTTGATTATTCAATGTCTGTACCTGAATAGTTAATTTCCCATAGCTTCTTTCATTGGTTTTTGTTCTATTGTTTTTATCTATGGTTGCAATTTGTTTATTATTATTTACACACACGCTTAAGCACACACACGCACGCTCAAGCACACACACACACGACATGCAGAAAGCATTTCCTAAAGAAGCGTATGGGCAGGCTGGACGTGATTTCATGGCTCAGAGTCATGCACTGCAACACCAGAAACCAAACATGTGATGTGTGCTAGTCAAACCACACACAGATTCATACTGCTGCGACTGCTGACCATGTGACTGGTCAGGAGAAATAAATACAAATATATAAATGTACAATATATGCGTTCAGCAGAAACCATATTCAGAGGCCTGGAGATTTCTGGTTTGGATTAGTGTTGCTGCACTTGTTTAGATGAATGATCAGATGGCTAGTGGCAAAAACACACTTCGGCATCTGAAATTTCTCTTTTAAAGTGTTATACGTATATATTTAAAGCTCACCCATAGGTTTATGGGGGTAAAAATGAAACCTCCATAAACGTTTAAATCATCCAAGACAGATTTAACATGAACTCTGGTGTTGTTAAGTATTGGTTTATGCTTCCGTTAAAACAGTGAGCTGAAGTCAGATATCGTATTGTGTATCGTTAGTTAATATGGGATGCTAAAGCATATCAGCATGTCAGACAGTGGTGTTTTTGATCATTAAATGTATTAAAAGAAGACTATTTAAAAATGAAAATTTCTAAAAAGCTTCCAAAGGAAAGAAAAAAAAGGATTTACCAATAAATTAATTTGATTTATTATCTTGTAGTAAAATAAAATATATAATAATGGGAATATAATTATTAATATAAAATAATTAAAAAAAAATAGTACAGTATACAGACCGGACTAATAAATGAAGTGGTCTAGATTAGCAGCTCAGCACGGCAAACGTCGTGTGAGACGTGCAGAATTATTATTATTGCATGTGTTACAACAGTATCATCCTGTAGAGTTTCTATTAGTCAATGAATCAAACAAAATGAAAGAAAAAGGGCAAACATGGCACTGCAAACCAATCAAACCAAAAGAAAATGGACACAGCTCTGGCTTGTTGGTCGCGTGGTTTACTTACGTGCCATATAGTCACTCTCTGGGGTCAAAAGACACAATTAAACGGTTACACACACGGAAATAACGTTGGGAACAGAATATGTTGGATCCGGTGGGAGGAACTGATGTGCGAGAGACTCACCTGGACGAACGAACGGTCCACAATGGAGCCTGTGAGCACCTGAGATTGAGGACCTGCCGTCTTTTTGTCCTGCAGATTCTGGTCACGGATCTGTCGAAAGAAAAGTCACTGTTAACACGAAATCACCACAAAATCGTCCCAGGACTAGGATCGGGTATCGTTAAAAGTTTAACGATTCCGATTCTTATTTTAATTCTGCTTTTCGATTCCAATAAGGAAAGAAAAACCTTAGATATCATTCACATTTGGTCTGACAAACATTTAATTGTAGTTGAATATCATGACAGAAAAACAAAAAGGTCAAAGAACACTTTGTCAGTGGTTTAAAAATACCAAGCCTGAAACAACTAGCCAAACTAATATAAATTTCAAGCATTATTAAAGACAAGTAAACACTAACAAATAAAAATGAGCGATTACAACATGGATACAACTGAACAAAGATACGATTAAAATAAACAGTGTTTTAAGTACTCAAATGTGAAATAACACTGTGCTTTAAAAAAAAATTACATTAAAAATATAGTTACTAAAGTAATTCAGTCAAGAACGAGTGAATTTTCTCTTTGTCTTGTGTTGTTTGATTTGTGTTTTTATAGAGATGGCAGCAGGAGTATTAGGCTACTGTCACTTTAAGAGCAGCCCAATATAGTTACACACGCCTGCACCACAGAAACCAGCGTGAGAGTCGTCTCACGCTTAAATGGTTTAAAGTCATCTTGAAATACTCACAAAGGAATTGAAATTTCAATTTTATAACAAGTATCCGATTCCAGAAATGGAATCGTTTTTCGATTCCAAACCCTACACAGGACATTTACAAGATCTAGAAGTGTTTGCATCCTCCTCACTGAAATGTCTTAAATCTACATGGGTAAAAGGTTCAGACCTTGTTGCGCATCTCTTGGACCTCTTTGGGGTTGGTGTTCATCGGGACAAACTGATTGGCCACAGCACCCTGTTTGAGACCCTCCTCCTTAGTCCACTGAAATGATCAAAGCACAGCCATTCAAATAAACCAAAACAAAAGAAAAAAAAAAAAATCACCCAAATTAAATATTTAACAAAAAAAATTAATCATGCCTCTCAAACAATACGAAATAAACACAAAGCAGATCTGAAACATTATTGGTCAAATTATAATTGTCCACTGAGCAACGAACCAATGATGATGTACAGTTTGCTTTGGGAAAACGTGGAACTCTGTGGTCGTCACAAGAATTCTAAAAATTCCAAATGTCACATTCCTCTAATCCTCTGCTCATAAAACAATTAATCAGTAAGAATTAACTTTTCAAATGATAGCGATTTAACATAATATTAAAGCACACAATCACCACATTAAATATGATTCTAAATCAATACGTATAAACTTAAATTTGACATCCGTGCCGGGGCAGCCGTTGCCCTCATCATCATTGATACTGCCGTTGGGCGTATAGTAAGGACAGAAAATGCTAAAAAAGAAAGAAAAGAGCACACACACACAAAGAGAAAAACAGAAGATTTAAGAAGGTGATGGACCACGAGGGAGGCAGGTGTGGGGTGGGGTGAGGAGGCAGAAGCTGGTGTGTGTTTAGCAGTGGACAGAGGCGTGAGTGGACAGCCAGAAAATACCTGTAGATACTGGAACAACACACACACACACACACACAGGCACAGACAGACACACAGACACATAAGCCGCTTTCCGACCAAGTAGTTATAGGAACTCAGTTATAGGAACTGTCCACTTCTAAACAGTTCTAAGAACTACTTTCCCCCAAACTCGGTTTTGCTGCTTGGGTCATCACTAGACGTAGCGCGGCCACAGACAACAACAACAAACCAGCATTTAAGCACAATCAGAATTATTTAATTAATGTCATTCTTTTAATGGCAAAATTTTATGTTCATAAATGCAAATCCTCCTGTAAAAAGCCTAATTTTATTTTATTTAGGAAAGAAATTTAGGTTTATATTGATTCACTCCGATTTTCTATGAAGCAAAAAGCGTTTAAAAACATTGAAATATGCAAATGTTATAATATCTTTATATAAGTTTACAATACCCCCCCCCCCCCCCAGTATGAAAGACTTTGTAATTTATATATTGTATGTTAATTTTGCTGTATACATAAATGTCTGTACTAAGATTGTTCTTATAAAAATAAAATAAAAAAAAGACCGATTGCAATGTTCCTGTTCTGCCTTGCCGGGACCTTAATAACGGAGAACGAACGGCGGCGTTTAAAGATTATGCTTGAGTTCTGTACAGAGAAACACAAGAAGAAGGCTCCAGCGTAATATGATATTAAGTAATATGATGGAAGAAGATAAAAGAGCAGAGCGCAGGAGGCAAACAAAACAACGGGTAAATTTAGCTAGCATTAGCAATCAGCTGGTTGAATGCGTTATGTTTGTCTTAATCCTCGTTGTAATGTTTTGCAAAAAACACACGGCGTATGGCAGACAGCGCGCTACAAGTTCGGTGTTGACAGTGGGCATGACTGATAAGTTGAACCAATCAACGTACACCTAGGGAAAGGGAACTAAAAAAGTCCTCGCTCTAGACTAGGTACTGAAAGAGTTCTAGGAACTACGGTCTGAGGAACTAAAAAATCCCCAATTTAGTCCGGTCGGAACACGAGAAAAAAAGGGTTATAGGAACGTTAGCTTCTAGGAACTGCAAAAGTCCCTCCGGTCGGAAAGCGGCTATATTCGCACAAACACCCAGACACACACACACACACACACTCAGTGAGGTTCTGAAGGACAGAATTACGCCCAACTTTTCTTAAAACATACAAAATGAACTTCAGTTTATGAAGTTTCAGAGGTGTACTCCAAAAGCTCTGATACATGGATTCAAATAAAGATGAAGAGCGAGTACTAATTATTTCTGAAGCAAAGATAGTTAGCCTTTGGCCTGGGTAAGAATAGCATGAGTAGCCAATGAGTTACTTGCTCAAGTCATGAGGAAGGGTTTCCGTATGGGCGCTGGAGAAACGGGGCACATGGGATGAACACGTAAACATGAAATACTCACTGATCACGTTTAGAGCCCCACAACACAACACGCTCTCCCCCAACTAGAGACAATCGTTCGGAGAGTTAACAACCACTCATGAACCAATGATTTTTCCTTTCTTTTTTGGATGATTTTGAAATTTGAAAAAGTTAATACACTCATGCGCAGGAAAAGTTTAGGAAAAGATAAATCCAATTCAGAAAGAAGAAAAGGAAACTGGTAAAAAAAATGAAAAGAGGAATTAAAAAGCCAACACAAATGTTTTTAAGCGGTTTAAGGAAAGAACATGGAGTCATCAAACAGCAAGCCAAACTCCAGAACTATAAGCAGCCGAGCTTTTTCTCCCACAGAGTTTGTGGCAAACACCTGATTTTCTCTGATATTGCTTGATTGCCTTAAAAAAATATTGTTATTTTCTTGGAAGCATTTTCATTTGAAGTCTAGCTGAAATATGAGGGGTTTGTTTTGAGTTCACCTACACACTAAAAGATCTGTTAGTAATTTAAACCTATGCCAGATTGAATAAATATGGTAAAAGCAGCAAAAAAAAGTAAAAGAAAAAATATTTAATATTTTTATAGATATTATCTTAAATTAAAAAAAATCTATATCTGGCTGTGGTGAGCAGGACGGCCGAGGGACGTGAGAGAAAGTCGCGAGGCCGGTGTTGCGATTGCTAATGAGCAGCACCTGCGAAGCACACCGGTCTCGCATCTCTCACGAAGGAGCGGAGCCATAAAGGGGGAGCGACGGAGTGGATGATCGAGAGAGGAACAGGCCTGCTTTTATTTGTATTTTATATTTTATTTGGTAAGCCAGCAGTCGTCCGTGAGGGGCTGCTGGCCGGTATTTATGTTTTATTTTGGGTAGCCAGCAGTCGTCCGCGAGGGGCTGCTGGCCGGTATAATTTGTTTGTTTATTTTATTTAAATAAAGTTTTATTTTATTATTATTATCCGGTTCCTGCCTCCTTCTTCCCTGAACTTTGTTACACTGGTGCCGAAACCCGGGAAGAGGGAGGAACGCGCTGTCCGAGGGTCCTCGCCGCTGTGGGGAATCCGCGGTGCCATCGAGCATGGTGCGCGAGTCGCCGCCGCTCGCCGTGGGCCGGAGCCTGCTGCCATCCGCCAGTGAAGGGGAGGAGCAGGGAACGGGGGACTCCTGCCGTCTGCCCAAGGCACCCGAGGAGCCGTCGCCGTCCACCGGGGGCGGGGGAGCGTCGAGGCGTTCACCGAGGGCCATCCAGCGTCGCCGCCGGGCACCGCGGAGGAGATCGCCCAGCTGGTGAGGGACAAGATGGCAGCGCGTTGTGGGAGCCGGACTATTTTTTTTTTTTTTCCCTCTCTCCCCTCTCTCGTGTCCGTCGCTCCTCAGGCTTCCGTCTCCGTTTCCCTCGGCTCGTCGATCCATACCCCCCAGGGATCGCCGCCGCCGGGGGGGAAGTAGGCACAGTCTCGGGTGTACCCCCCGGCCTGTGAGGGGTGATGGGGGTATGTGGTGAGCAGGACGGCCGAGGGACGTGAGAGAAAGTCGCGAGGCCGGTGTTGCGATTGCTAATGAGCAGCACCTGCGAAGCACACCGGTCTCGCATCTCTCACGAAGGAGCGGAGCCATAAAGGGGGAGCGACGGAGTGGATGATCGAGAGAGGAACAGGCCTGCTTTTATTTGTATTTTATATTTTATTTGGTAAGCCAGCAGTCGTCCGTGAGGGGCTGCTGGCCGGTATTTATGTTTTATTTTGGGTAGCCAGCAGTCGTCCGCGAGGGGCTGCTGGCCGGTATAATTTGTTTGTTTATTTTATTTAAATAAAGTTTTATTTTATTATTATTATCCGGTTCCTGCCTCCTTCTTCCCTGAACTTTGTTACACTGGCTTTCATTCAAATCTTTTAATATCAGTAAAGCATTTTTTAAAAAGGTATAACTTAAAGATATTAGATTATTGAAATTATAACATTATATTCATGGCAATGAAGCACACATTAGTAGCCTGCTAAAACACAACACAGGGCTTATGTGTCATTACAATAATGTCAAAATGGAAAAACGAAATCTTAACGGTCCTAAAAAAAGTTGCTCTATGCAAAGTAGAATTTCTGTTATATTATTTTTAGATGAAACATGACAACTTTTTTGTGAGATTCATCCATCAGTTCACTCCAAAGCTTTCCAATGTGATGGGCTTTTATCTAAAGAGCATTAATGAATGATCATACTATAAATCTAATCATACTATATTCATCACTGCATCAAAGTGCACAGCAAGTACATTATCCACTCAAATGGCTCTCTTCAAGGCTTCCTGCGATAGTAACTTGGTTTGCTCCGAGGAAACCGTTCATGTGGAGTAACGGCTCCATTAAAACACAAACAATACAAGAGGTGCGAAATAAAGCAATAAATGAAACAAACAACAACAGAAACGGGAGGAAAATCCAAAGCAACAGTAAGGATTGGCCACACCCACTTTGAGCACATGCCACACCCTCCTGGTCCCCCAGGAGAAGACCCACAATGCATCTGATCAATCATGCAACACAGCATGCACTGAGCAGCCGGAGAGAACCCTGACACCCTTTCGACCAATCGTGAGAGAGGGGGAGGAGCCTGACACTGTGATTGACATTAGGACTAGCTTAGAGAGAAATCAGAGAAAGCAAGAGCTAGAAAGCTAGAACAGGTTAATAGGTTAGTTAATAAGTTAAAGAAATGCAGTCTGGACCAAGTAATTAAACCCAGTGAGAATCTTAAGACAAGAACTACAAGAAAAATAAAAAAATAAATTCTCATCAGTTTTGAGATTTTGGCCTATTTAGCTTTCCATAAAGTGTTTCAAACTAGTGGAAAGCATTCATCCTAAAAAATGTTTATTATCTTCCTCTATTTAGATCTTTAGATTTCAATTACACTACATATCGTTACGGGCTATAAGTCAATTACTATCTGTTTTCTGAAGGATTTACGCTTTGTTAATATACGTATAATTGGTGCAAATTATTTTTTCTGGCCGTTGACAGTATTTTCTGATTTAAGGAGGGATAAAAACAGAAATAAATGTAAAACTTTGACTATAATACGTCAATGAAACAAGAATTTTCCCCATGGCTTTATCCATATTTCTATTCTAGAAATGTATGCAAATCAGTGTATATTTATTTGAGTATGCCTCATTTGCATATGGTAAAGATTAAAAAACTTGTAACACAATTTTTTTTTATACGGTGCGCTATGATAATGTTTTTTTCCCTATTCACCTGTAGTACCTTGCCTTAAGAAGTCAGCCGAGAAAAAAAAAAAATATATATATATATATTTCCAGGACAAAACAAGTCTAAAGGACAATTTTCTTTGGTTGTCAAACATTTTACTTGAGGAAAAAGGCAATCCACACCCAAAACCACTTGGGTATGATTAAGGTTTTTGTTTTTTTTTGCCCTGGTGTCGGGGTGCTAACCAGCCGCCCTCTCTAGCTCAGTAGCAGTACGTTTCTAAACTATGAACAATAAGGTTGGCACAGACCAAGCAGTTGGTAATACAGCTTGGCACGCAGACACCGGACGAGAGAGACTGCAGCAAGGGTTTCACGTGATCGTGTGTTATGTTCGTCCACACCTTAGTCTTCGCCTTGGGGCTACCGCTGCCGTCCTGGCCTTCCTCCGCCGACTCGTCGGGCCGCGCGGCGGCTAGCCAGCGAGTCTTGTCCCGCTGCTGCCGCTGAAAGCTGTGCTTTAACGGGGAGCGCGCACCCGAGTCACTGTCCTCGGCGTATGAGTAGCCCGTGGCTGAAGCGGGAATCTCAACGTCACTGTACTTTTTAGCTTTATCACGCAGTGCCGGGCAACGGTACGGGTAACCAGTCCTGTAGCCCTGTGTAGAGAGAGAGAGAGACCAAAGAAAAATAAATAAATATACAAAAAAAATGATAAGTAATAACAGAGTTTGTTCTCTCGCTTACCAGATTATCCAGCATCCTCATCAAGGCCTCAAACTCCTGCTCCCCGATCTGCCACTTCGGGTGCGAGCTCGACCCGTCTCCAGCCGGCTCCAGGTGGCGTGGGCGAGATTTATACTTGGCTGGGTCCAACATGACCAGGTTATCCGGACCGCCCGCACTGGCGAGGGTGCGGACCTGGAATTGCAGACCGGAAAAATTTACATTTAACCCTATAAAGCCCAGTGCATCCACTAAGGCCTATAAATGATCAAAGCTTTGCTGTAAAACCTGTTGCACACAATCTACTACATTCCTTCTGTCGTCTGATTGATAGTTTAAACTTTTGTTTAGCAGGTAAAAGTGATTTTTATTAAATAAATGAAATAATACCTTTGATATCGTTAATATTATTTCAATATGAACTAGGGCTGAACGATTTTGGAAAATAATCTAATTGCGATTTTTTTAACCAATATTGCGATTGCGATTTAATATGCGATTTAAAAAAAAAAAGTTATTTACCATCTGTATTAGTCAACAAAGACAAGCAATAAATCATTGTACAGTAGGGATGGGAATCTTTAGATAGCTCATGATCCAATCTACTTTTTTTCTTATTAATTAATCTTAATAACTCTTAAAATATGTATTTAATTACATGTGTAAAAACATACTTTAAAAAATAAATATAAAAAAAATATTTAATTAAACCAATTACATGTTAAGAATTTTAAATAGGCTATATAAAATAATATAGCTTCAAAATATAAAAGCTAGTAAATAAAGAGAAACAAAAAAAAAACATTACAAGCAATAAACAAAGAGTGGTCTAAGTATGTAGGCTGTCTGAATGTTTTTCATTCAAGAGCTGGAGTGATTTCCCCTCAGTTTAGATATGATAAGCTGCATTCACACTAATGCATATATCTCTTTTGAAATTGTAAATGTGGTTTGTCCTGTTGGTTTAAGATATAACTGACCGTGTTTACATCAATTTCGCGTCATAAAAGCATTTTGACATGCAAGTACATTTACCAATGAGTCGCTCACGGCCGCATGCACGAGCGCTCTTCACAAAGCACGCGTTAGTATTTTAAAATGAAAGCAGCCTTCTCAGTGATTTTCATGGTTTTAATATAAGCCAACTGCATTCCAAAATACATAAATAATGCCTCTGTGAAGCATTTGTTAAGAAAATTCCCGCGGGAGAGAACGCGCACTGCAAGTGTAAACGTTATAACATCAAGCAAAGTGGCAAAACCTGTTCAATGAAGCCCGCGAATGTCCTTGTAATTCGGTTTATTCCCGAACTTTATGAAATAACGTTACTATGTTTTGGAAGGTTCGAGCGGTGTCGTGTGTGTGAGTGAGGAAGAGAGAGAGCGAGAAAATAGAAGCAAGCAGATTCAGAACACGGTTCGTTTGTAAAGCACGCGCAGCGTCATCACGCATCTGTGTTTAAAAACTAAGCTCAGACTCGATTCTGAAATTCTCTGAATCGATCCAGGATTGTTGAGGAGAGGAGAGAATAAATAACACAATAAACTGTTCTTTTCTGGACGCCAGACCGCGTAGCGTGGCAAGTTGATGCTTTATCTTGCAGACTGCTTTTCTCTCGCGTGTCACGTGACCCAGTGTAATCGCAGCTCTTGCGATTACAAAATCGCGTTTCATCATATCGCGATTTTATCGCAAATGCAATTAATCGTTCAGCCCTAATATGAACACTTAATGGACTTAATGAACACTTAATGAATACTTAAAGAAACTTCGGCTTACTTGATTATCAATACATCATTAAAAAAACAAATCATGATTGTTAAATATGATCATCAGGCTTTTGAGTAAGGTTTATTCGTTCATCTCTCACTCATTTTATTTCATAGCATTCCGTGTCTTAAAATTAGAGCTTTGATCATAAATCATGATCACATTATTGCCAGATATACAGTGATGACTGATATTTATATGCATGTTATAAAGATCTCATTGATTTACATCACAAGCATAAGAATTTCATCTTTTTGTCAATATAAATATCAGCAACAAATTATATATTTTTGCTCTTGTTTGAGCTGTTTTCTCTCCATATGTTCACTATATTAGACTATTTGAGCAATAAAAGCCTGATGTATCAAATGATACACAACAAAAAATTAGATTCACAGTAGGGATGCACCGAAATGAAAATTCTTGGCCGAAACCGAAAAAGAGGAAACCAAGGCCGAAAACCGAAACACCAAAAGAAATTATGCCAATTATTAGTATCATTGCATTTATGGCTATGACTGTGTACAAACTTTACTAAAATCAAGGCATTGCAATTGCATAAATTAATATAACATTTTCAAAGAATAAATCAATTACAAATTGTGCAAATATTTATTTAGCACAATGCACAGTATAAAATAAAATTCAAACTAAAATGTTTAAATTGACCCCACTCATGTGTACACTAAATAATAATCTACTGGCCTGCAGAAAGGTTTTAAAATGAAATGTTTTCTCAAAAACAAAGCCGAGCGCAAACTTCTCATCACACTAGCACCCATTTTGCATATCTAAATTAGTTACATTTTAAAAAATTAGCATACAATAGCATAAAAAGCCTTTTTAAATGAACAATGGTCCATGTTTAATAGAAATGTTCATGAAACATGTTTAGTGAATGTAGAAAATATTTAAAAGAGCATTAATTTAGTTCTATAGGCTACATAGGCCTACATGTTCCCATATACATATATTTTTTTAAATGTCACAAGTAATAATCTCAGGGTTTACTGGGTTTTACATGATTATTTTTGTATTGGTGGTGGAATACTAAAAAATAAACATTGTCATGTATTTATCTGTCTTCTTCTCACCGATTCCTGATGGTTAGAGGACAGTTACTTGAGTCGTCCCCTGTCGTTTCAAGGAATAGTACAACGGAGAGCGCGTCAAGTATAAACGCCTCGACCGTTTGGAGCGGTGCACGCGCTGTTTGTGGAGACTCGCGCTGCCTTGTTTACTTTCGCCTGCCTCCGCAGCGCGAGTCTTATTTATAATTTTTAATTGTTTCATCCACCTATATCTGCTCTAAACAATGCGTGCCGCCATGACGACGACTCCGGTTGCGAGCGGGTCAAGAGCGCTGCGTGCGCTGTCTGTGGAGACTCGCGCTGCGGAGGCAGGCGAAAGTATAAACAAGGCAGCACGAGTCTCCACAAACAGCGCGCGCACCGCTCTTGACCCGCTCACAACCGGAGTCGTCGTCATGGCGGCACGCATTGTTTACAGCAGATATAGGTGGATAAACAAGGTTTCCGTCTCATCGTGGGTTCAGATACACTGAAATACGTCCACACCACAGACATGTTGCTTCAGACAAGCACGTGCAGGTCGCGGTTTCTGTTTGCGTCATCACAACATTTCGGCCGTATTGTTTCGGTGATAAAAGTCTTTCGGCCGAAAACCGAAAACGCACTTTTGGGCCATTTTCGGACGAAAATTTTCGGCGGCCGAATATTCGGTGCATCCCTAATTCACAGGGTTAAAGCCCTGCTGGAAACACAATGATTTCACACATTAAAGATGCTAAACTGATGGATACCTGGATCTCACAGGCTGTGACCAGGTTGTGAATGTAGTAAAACGCCTCTTCAACGGTTTCTCCAATAGACACCAGACCGTGATTCCTCAAAATCAACACCTGAACAAAAGCAATTTTTACACAACATAAAACCGGATAGAGCCCAGGCTTGAAGTCAGACAGAAATTGATATAGCGGTTTAATCTCTGTGTATATATATATATTTGGTACCTTGCTCTTGGGACCCAGGTTCTTCTGTATGAGGACGTTCTCCTCCTCGTCCACCAGGATACCGTGGTAATCGTGGTACGCCACCTCGCCCAGCGCCAGAGCCTCAGGTGAAATGGGCAGAAGACCACATTTCATAGCAGACACCTGGAGGTCAAATTATTTAAATGATTAATATGAAGGTATATAACAGTAAATATAATAAATATACCATGAAATATTGCAACGAAATGAAAATGCATTTATTAATTATTTTAAGTCTATTAAAAACGATATGGGACATAAAACACATCTAAATACAACAGAATTCAAAATTAAATGATCAAATACTACGTAAAAATGCTGCAATTTGTAAATAAAAATGAATGAGAGGCAAACAAACAAAATGCATGTAATTCTTCATTGGTCATAAAAAAAATAAATAAAAAAAATTGCTCAAAAATAAATCTCTTTATGCTAATAATGCTATGGAAGCTCGTTTCCGCCACTGAATAAAACAATTTAAAAGATAATTGCAACTTTTATAAACTCGCAATTCAGAGAACAAGAAAAAAAAAAAGGCAAAATTGTGAGATAGTCGCAATTACCTTTTATTTTTTATTCAATGGCGCAAACAAGCTTCCATATTATGCTTATATTTGAAAATGCAATCGTTTTAGATAAAATCATCTGAATTAAATTCATTAATTTGGTCCCACTTTACATTAAGCGGCATTACCATGTTCAAACATTTAAATGAATCATTTGTTAAAATGCACTAATTGTTTACATGTTTTTGCATTGTACTTGCATTTTAAAAAAATACCTGCATAGAATTACAGCGGTAATTAAATTCTGTAATTACATCTATAATTACACTGTTGACCTTTTCCTCACCCTTAAACTTACCCGTACCCCCAAACCTGCCCTAACCAACCCGTATCCCATGCCAAGTGTTTTGCAATACAAGAAGAACACATTAAATGCATTGTAGAGAATATATTTTTCAATGCAAGTATACAGTAGATAAAAACATCAAACAGAAAGTGTGACCCAAGTGATTATCGTGAGATGATTGAGTTTGTCATGAATGGCTCGTACCGCGGCGCCAGCGGGCGTGTGAATATGCACTATGCACTTGATGTCGGGCCGGGCCGCGTAGATGGCGGAGTGGAGGGTGAAGCCAGCCTGGTTTACGCCCAGATTCGTGCTGCCTCGGTCTACAATCTCACCCTGCAGGTTGATCTTCACCTGAGGACACATATAATGCTGCTAAATACTGGCTACTCTTAACAACATTTGTCAGTCACGTTCTGAGAGGCATCAGATGGTTGAGGTAAAACGGGCAGGGTTACCAGACTGGAGGCCGTGACCTCACTGAACAGAAGACCGAACGGGACAATCAGGAAACGCTCCAGTTCTGTGTTCAGCCGGACCTGAAGAGACAGAGGTTTAAATTGTATTGCCACATATCATCCTGACATGTGTTGTATATATGCATTTGTGACACACTCACAGTCAGGTGGTTGTAGATGAGCTGAGACCAGCCGAAGAGGTCGGCCAGGCGGTAAAACGCAGCGAGTTTACAGCGCAAGAGCTTCTCTCCTTTCTCATAGGCGATGGAGTCTGAACCTCTCAGGTCATTGACTGGAGTCACCATCCCCAAACCTACACACACACACACACACATCTGTAAGGACTGTTCTGCCATTAATACATGAACATGTTTATATGTAGAGTTCTTTAAAACACTGAAGCTGTTGTTTAAAGTTGTATTTTACTTTCAGTGAGGAACACCAGGGTTATCATTAATTCAAACTAAACCATTAAAAAAAAACATTTGTTACTTGAATTAAAATAAACATTAACTGAAATTAAACAAAAGTTATTTGACAAGGCAACATTTCTATTTCTCATGTAGCTTAACTAACTAAAAAGTACTAAAATTAAAAAAACAAAACAAACAAAAAAATAAAAAAACTAATAGAAACGACAAACACAAAATTATTAAAACTAACAAAATTAAAATAAAAACATGCTTTAAATATTAATACTAAGTACAAAAATGTCAAACTGAAAAAATTACATAATAAAAACGAATTAAAAATGACAATTTCTAAAACTAAAATAAAAAAAAATAAGTTTTAGTATTTAGTATTAAGTACTAAAGTAACTAAAAATATATAATAATAATAATAAAAATGAAATGTACATTTAAAAAAAAATTACAGACAACAAAATGACTAATGACTAATTAAAACAGAAAATACATATTTTTTTAAATATATAAATTAACAGAAGTTCGATTTGTCTAGCAAAGTGGCAGTAAAGTGGAGCAGATTGTATATTTTAACTTTTTGGATACATTATTATTTGTTAAATATTGGAATTAATATGTTTATAAAAAAAAGACGTCATGAGTGTGATGTGATATATCAGGATCGTTGCGGTGCCCGTAGAAAGTTTGCTTGCTCAAAGACAAGAGTGACCGTGGCTTAACGCAGTTGATTACCACACAAACACACACACACACTCACTCATGTTGAGGGCAGCCATGCCTCCCTGCGGGGCTGCGGGGTACATGGTGGGAACGCTGGTGGTCATGAAGTCAGCGATCTGCTGCAGGGCAAGCAAACTGGTGGGAGTTTTCCCCTTCTTCATCTGATCCTGGATCAGAGACTCCAGCTCATCACAGAACACCTAAAGCACAGGACAACACACAGACAATTACAGCCAGAACTATACGGTCTAGGGCTGGGTATTGACGCACATTTCACAATTCAATTAAATATCGATTCACAAGCTTGCAATTCAAATTGATTTTGATTCCATTTTGATTATTTTGGATATCAGGTACAATAGATGGCAAATTTGCTCAAAGAAAACAAATCTCTAAACTAATGCTGTAAACTATGGGAGTTAGTTGTAGCCAACTAGGCTTCATTAGTCAGCTGTAATATTGAAGGTAAAAATGAACTGATTTGTATACAAACACTTAAATTACACTTATTTATTTTTATAAAAATAAAGTTATATGAAAAATAAACATTTAAATGGCGGCTGTCATAAAAAAAACTTGCCAGATTTATTCAAACATGCATTAAATACTGAAGAACATTAGCAATTAGAATGAATATAGAGAGCCTAAGTCCCTCCCCTTCCGGTCGACCACCATGGGACCTTATTTCGGAAAAATATTGAATGGTAGTCAATGGCGAGAGACAACACATATTTTGATCTCGTTTGAATTGTGCCCTAAATTACACATATGATGTTTGTCAATTTAAAAGATACATTTTAAAGTAAAGAAAGTTGCAGTTTGATGTAAAACCGTTGAGGTATAAGACTGTGAAAATACGTAATTACAAAGACTACAAACCCCAAAGGCGCACATTTTCTCTCAATGAATGAAGCTAACTTTACTGAGGCTGTCTGTCATTGTTTCTACAGTGTTGCGTTATAATCGTAACGTTACGCCGTCCTACCTGAGTGTTTTGTACCAGACTGCACACACGAGCAGCGGATCTCGCTTCGCTTCCCGGGAGATGTAGTTCACAGAGCGATTTTCACATAAAACTAAATGTTACTCTTCTGTTGTATGACAAACTGCGACGTTTTTGACTTTCAGAATTATCTTTTACATAGACAAACATCATATGTGTAATTGAAGGCACAGTTCAGACGGAATAAAAAGATAAGTTGTCTCTCGCCATTGACTACCATTCATATTTTTTCTGAAATAAGGTCCCATGAGCCGGAAGCGGAGGGGCGGGACTTAGGCTCTCTATATGGTACATACATTTAGCAAAATGCTCAGATTATTTTCAAAATGCGTAAAAATGAGAATCGATTAAAATCGAAAAATCGATATATATTTTTTTATCCAGCCCTAATAGGGTCCAATTCTAGATATGGCTGGGCTGTTTGTTCTACAGACACGAATGATTCCTTTAGTAATATTTATTTGAACCCGAATACACAAAAGCACCAGATACACGTCAGCAGCGTCACTGCGGACTCGTGAACGTGGATCCACAATAGAACCGGAAGACAATGCAATGCTGAATAAAGTCGTGGTTTTTGTTATTTTTGGACCAAAATGTATTTGCGATGCTTCAAAACATTCTAACTAACCCACTGATGTCACATGGACTACTTTGATGATGTTTATTTCATTTCTGGACAAGGACAGCATACCGTACACACATTTTCAATGGAGATACAGAAAGCTCTCCGACTAAATCGAAAATATCTTAAACTGTGTCCTGGAGATGAATGGAGGTCTTACGGGCTTGGGACATCATAAGGGAGAGTCATTAATGACATAATTTTCATTTTTTTGGTGAACTAACCCTTTAAGCACCTTCAAATCATTGGAAATGTGCTTGACCTTGACTTAAAGATATTTGCTCAATGCTGAAAAATATCAAAAGTAAAATTGACAGCGACTACTTGATGGAACTTAAAGCATGAGAGCTGAAAATCAGCTGCCTTTCCTTCACTCCCTCAATTTCTGCCCGGATAAAGAGCATCTTTATTCTTCCGTTGACAGTCCGCTTGCATAAACAGAATCCCCTCTGTGCTTATACACACACACACACACACACACACACACACACGCATGATTGCTGGGCATATTAAGAAATCAGTCACGAGGGGGTTTATTGAGAGCTGAATGAACTGTATGGATTCCACCAGAAATATGAAGCAGTGCAACGGCTTTTTTTAACACTGATAATAATAAATATTTCTTGAGCATCAAATCATCATATTAGAGTGATTTCTGAAGGGTCATGTGACAATGAACTGTCAGCATCATTACTCCAGTCTTCAGTAACATTTCTCAATTTTACTGTATTTTTTATCAAATAAATGCAGCCTTAGTGAGCAGAAGAGACTTCAAAACCGTTACACAGTGTTTCTGTAAGTGTGTGTTGTTGTGTTCTCACTGGACTCTGCAGGATCATAGACACTCTCTTCCGCTGCTCCATCATGTTGAAGTCCTGCCGCAGGTCGGGTGCCATGTTCCTCTCTCTCTGGTACTCCGGGCTGCTCTCATCCACACGGTCGAAATAACGCTCCTTATGAGGGGGGTTGGTGGGAGGGGGGGCCGTCACCACTCCTGCACCTGAGTCTCCGTTCATCACACACCTGCAACAGAGTTGCATACTTCAGCTATGCTCATAAATGAAAGTACATACTTACGATCAACAAAACTAGCTTTAAAGTAAAACTTGAGCATCTCTATGACTTCTTTTGTAACATTGTATTTTATCTTCCAATTCGTGTTTTCCTTTTCCTAATTCACCAAGTAGGAATGCACTGATATGAAAATTGAGATACGATAACCGATATCCTTGTACATTTGAAAGCCGATAACTCATTTATTGGCAGTTAAATGTTTATATAATTTGAGAGCCCGATTACAAAAGTCTCACCATTAAAACCCATACCCCAAGCACACTTTTCTCATTATAATTTAATTTAGTATAATGTTAACAGTGCACATCTGAAGCATCTAAGACTGAATTAAATAATCCATTATTTATCAATATATATACCCAGCTGCTGCTTATTAGATATCCAAAATTCTTTATATTTTTTTCAGATATAATCTGTATTTTATTGTTGGAGGAGTTTTGATGATGTTAGTGACGTTTGCACTGATAAGCCAATCCTTTGATTAGATGATCATCGCATCAAGCCCAGATTCCAGACGCATCCGATCCGAAGCACATCTCGTGTCATTACAAAACAATGTTCCTCCGCAAGTAACTTACAGATTTATTCTTCAGCCGCTAGAGACACAAAAGTTACATAGTGTAGCTTTAAACAAAATGCATCAGTGTTTCCCCTACAATTGTTTTTTCAAACCACAAAAAGACTATTTAAATACGAGTTCTGCATGTTCTGTGTGAACGAATGGTACAGACGACCAATATATATCGCAAACATGAGTATACAATACAGTATGTATGGAGATAAAGTTGAACATGCGGATATATCCAACTTTTTATAAAGGTCTCTGTTATAGGGTTGTGCCGATAGACGATAGTATCGTGTATCGACGATAGTCTGACATATCGCCGATGGCAGATGCATTTGACGATATCAATACGATAATTGGCTCGTTTTACCATAATGTATTAAATTATTATTATTAGGCCTATTATTATTATTATTATTATTATTATAAAGCTAGTGTTGTTATTAAATGAACATTAGGAACTACAATTAATTTACAACGATATCACCTCATAACAATTGCAACAACACACGCACTAATGAGGACTCCTCTACGAGAATGTTTTTAAAACAGACTAAAAAACATCCCACATCAAAATTTAATTGCAAGGTGATCCATTCACAAATTATCAAGTGTGCTCCGAGTGCTCGTTTTAACAGACGCAAAATTTAATTTCCTACAGATCCAAGATGACAACGGCATCGTTGTTCGTCAGTATATTTGTTTCCGTAACACATTAACAAAACGTTTAATGACACTAACACTAAAAACAATACAATTACTAAATAGTATTAATAATAATATCACTAAAATAGTATTATAGTTACCGTTATCATCGTCGTCTCTGAGGGAACGCGGTGTTAATGCAGATGGCAAAAGCAGTCCGTTTTTACTTTCACTTTCAGAGATTGAGCGCGTTTACATGCGACGACGTTCTTAACCTGATTATGTTGAATAAACTTGACAATGCATGTGGTCATGTAAACGTTTCCTTTATCAGAGTCAAGTCATAAGTATAAATATAAACCGATCGACTCAGCTAGACGTTTGGCCCTTGCTCTTGTTTCTATCGGCATTTAAAACACATTAACCCGCGTACTTCGTGCTTACTGAAGTGCGCATGTGAAGTGCGCTGGTAGGGGGGCACATATCGCAATCTCCGACTTTTTCTGACCCAAGAAATTATTAAAACGTGTTTTCATCTCGTGCAGAAATAGACCCTAGTCAAAATGCTGCATGTAACGGCATGAGGATAGGCTAATGTGTCCGTAAATTTCCCGTTGACAAACAAAAGGATTAGGATCTCTTGTTTTACCTCACTATATCAGGAAATAACCTGATCCTATTAATAAACACTCCACCTTTGCTAGCAAAATAGAAAAAAGATTATCGTATATAAAACGAAGTAGGCTAATAAAACAAGCAAATTAATGAGTAGGCTAAATAATCAAGTTAATAATCAAATAAGTTAGCCCCGCCCCCTCACGATAATATCGTGTATCGCCGATCTCACAGGCTGACGATAGGACGATATGAAAATGGAGCATATCGCCCAACACTACTCTGTTATGATAATTACATTTTTCAGCAAAATAAAAGATGAGATTTGCTAAACAGGGTAGTATATATATATATATATCACCGCCTATATGCAGATAAAGTTGGATTTAATACATGTCCAACTTTATATAGAGCTGTGCAATAATGCAGTTTACATTTTGCAACGGCATATCTTGTTTCCCACAGGATTTTGTGAGACTATGGGAAAGTAATGTATATTAAATAATAATTACTTTAAAATCTCCAGATATTTTAAGGCATGTAATATTTTTCAAGGAAAACATTTTTAAATATGTAATTTTCGTGATCAAAGATGAGTTAAAAGGTAAAATGATTGACTACATGGTGACTTTAATATTATACCAAGATAAAAAAAAAAATCTGAAAATACATTCAGATTTCTGATTAGAATGCTGTTAGTGTCATGCAGGAGAATCAATGACACTAAGGCAAAGAGAGAGAAGGAAAGGGAGTCCGTCTGTCTGACTCAGCATTATTGATCGTCTAATGTCATCTAAGTGGTTTTGTTTCGGATGTAAAGCCACGTAAACATGTACTTGGTGTTACAGAACCTACAACACAAACTGGCCAGTGCAACACATTATTACAGGATGAAGTCAACAAGCACAGGCTGCTCATTTCACCCCAGCACAGGAAATAACTGCAGCATTGAGTAATGAAACTCTGGAGCTCCCGACAGATGCTCTGCTCTCAATCTGCAGAAACACAGACCATTCGTCCTCATTTCAGTTCAAACCCCCTAAATGAGCACGTTCAATCAGTGCAAAGCAGAACATTTAAAACATAGGGTTCCTCTACATCCTAATGGCTGCGGAGTTAAAATGAACGACAACAAGAAGTGCATTTCATGCATTCTGATGGAAAGAACTCAATGTAAGAATACAGACTTTAATAATAGCTATGACAAACATTTTTTTGCCCTCTTTAAATATATAAAGTATTTAGGAAAAAAATGTAATTGTAATTTTACTGATAGAAATGCATTTAAAATGTCATTTAAAAACAACAGGTTTTGCTGTTCTTTGTTTGCAGGGCTGCAAAATTCTTCTTATCAGAAATATGAAACAAAAAGAGATGTTACTGCTGTAATATTTCACTGTAAAAAAAAGTAAACCATGATTTTTCAGATGAAATACGGTAAACTGCTGTGGTTGTTAGTAGGGCTGCACAATTATTATTAAATATATTAAACAAAATAACTATTGTACTATTACTATTGTAACATTTCACTGTAAAATAAAAAAGGGAATATAAGATAAATGCATTTTATTTAACAGTACAACTATAATTTAATTTAAGTTAAAGGATTAGTTCACTTTTGAAAAAACTTTTGCTGATAATTTACTCACCCCCATGTCATCCAAGATGTCCATGTCTTTCTTTCCTCAGTCGAAAAGAAATTTAGGTTTTTGATGAAAACATTCCAGGATTTTTCTCCATATAATGGACTTCAATGGGAACCGGATGGTTCAGGTCCAAAAGATAGTGTTAATAACAGTTTCAGATGCAGCTTCAAATGTCTTTAAACGACACCAGACGATGAATAAAAGTCTTATCATGCGAAACGATCGGTTATTTCAATGCTTATTCCAAAAATGTAACTTTTCTAAGGACAAATGCTAGCCTTGCTATATTCTGTGAGGCGCGTTTGCAACGTCACGTATTACGTAATTATGTTCAAAAGGTCACGGGCGACGTAGTCTCAGCCTCAGACGTCACGCCCACGGAACGTTGGCTAAACGTCTGATGCATATGGTACACTTAACTGGAAACACTTCAGGAATGTCGAAGTCGTCATCTGATTGGTTGAATTTTATCGGATTTCCGGGGGGCGTCAGTGTCGCGTTTATTTTCGGTCCGCCGGGAAACAAAGCGCAGATGTGTGATTGCGGAAGAAAAACTGTTGTGTTTATATGAGTGGCCTATGTGAGTGACAATGAGCATTTCTCAAGATCAGCTAAACGTAGTTGTATGTCCCCTCCAATCTATTATGGAAGATCAAGTGAAGTACTTAATTGCGAAGGGTATATCAGCTGCGTTTGTGGACAAACATGAAACAGACGCTGACATCGCAGCTGGCCGATTCAGTATTCATATATAGGTCGCGCACACTGGATTATAAGGCACATAAGATACTGCAGAGTCAAACGTTTGACTGGGTTTGCGTTATGCATCCACTAGATGTGCTAAAGGCTAAAGGGAATGTAGCGAGTGCGCGGCGCCGGAGGTGAGGCGTTTATTTAGTAGGCGTGAGCGCACTGGGGCGGGGACGTAACTTACATTCGTGTGACAAAGCGGACATAAGATGGACATGAGCGAGTTCGTGGGTGAATTTAATAACACGGAGCGTTGTTAGCGCCTCCGGTGACTGCTGACTGACTTGTTGCACACCGGTCTGTTGTTGTGGGGACATTTCCACGCCCCGAAACATGACGCTGAACGAAACGAACTGTAATTGGTTGTTTGACATGTCGGTCTAACGGCCTTATGGGCGGGCCTTGACCAAAGAAAGCTGCTATGAATTCCAGACCTTCAGCCGTCAGTCTGAAGGTCTGGCTACGCGAGACTACGGGCGACGTAGCCGAAAGTACAGAGTCAGTGTTTACAAGTTGAACGCATAGGTTGAATGTGAAAACTAACTCAAACGGCGTTTACAAAAAAGGAATTAAAAGGTAAAACAACGATGTCGGACGATTTTTATTCTGTACTTCCGGCTACGTCGCCCGTGACCTTTTGAACGTAATTACGTATTACGTGACGTTGCAAACGCGCCTCACAGAATAGAGCAAGGCTAGCATTTGTCCTTAAAAAAGTTACATTTTTG